AAGAAGTCCTCATACCCAAGTAAGTACGAAGCCACCTGTGGGGCTGCTAGCTCTTGCTTGGCAATAAGAGTATTGGCACATTTGATCAAAGTGCTTTTAGCGAGCTCTGTGGAGGCCATTTCTTTCCTTGTTGTAACTTTTTGCAATTGGGAAACTGCAGCCTGGAGAGCAGCGTAGGCCACATGGGTCTTCAGTGGGGACTTGGTAATATAATCTGTGATGTAGTACAGAATGGCTTTTGCAGAGACACCTGAGCCAATGAATTTGATGTCCATGTGTCAGGGGATGGACCCCGGGTCCCCATGACCCCTCTCTATGGCCCACAGGCTAACCTGTAACAGCAGCCCATCTCAGGGCATAACACTACTGTGGGTAAGAAAGTGAGAAGAAGGTTAACTTCTCACTTTCCCACAGTGGCCCCAATATGGCGAAAACTTCCGGGGATACCCGGAAGTCACATGAGGTGGGATCCGGGGTCGGATCATGCGGCGCTGAAGGAGAGAACGAAGGAAGGTCAGTTGGGAGGTTCAAACGAGACCACCACCAAGCTGTTCCCTGGTTCTTTAGTTAGGATGGGGAAGTGTACTAGTGTTATTTATTGTAAATAAAGTACCAATCCGAGTGTTTTGGCTAATTCTATTTTTATGGGTTAGTTTTAAAGTTCCTGGGAATTGACTTACAGATAAACCGAGCCCTGCGGAGCTGTTTCTTTATTGAAATTTATTAATTTGTCTAGGTGTAATTCTGTGTAGCGTTGTTTAATTTGGATTTAAACTTGAATTTAATCTTCTACTTGGTGAAGTTTCAAAGATTCTATTCAGTTAATGAATTTGGATGGTGTCTGGAGTGTCCCTTGAGTTCGTTTTATTTTTGTCTTTATTTTATCGCTTGTTTTAACAGTAGCAAAATAACTGTTTTGTGTTTACACTTTGAAATCTGGAGTGTTAACCAGCTCTCCTGTTGAAATATCTACTTAATATTTCTCTCCTTAATTGCTGCCTTTTACTACAGTGGCAATCTTAACTGTATATCACTTTTTCGCACTGGAGTGACAACCAGAAATGCTTGAGAAAAATAATACTCTATTTTCTTACTTCTCTAAGGGGGGCGAAAAGTCGCAGAAAGGGTCTCCCTTTTATACTCCTTGGGTCGCCTTCCTTTTTCACGCTCTACCTTCTATTTACAGGATTTATTTACAGTGTATTTTTCTCAAACTGAATAAAAATGAAATTTTCATGCTATAGTTCTACTGTGCTTTTGCTGCGCTGAACTGCGGTTCTACTGCGGTCAGACTGCGCCTAGAATTCTTATTGTCCTCCCTTGCCTAAGCTATTTTAATGGTTAATTAGAACTTGGCTGCGCTGCATTTGCCGCAGTTACCTATTTCAAATTCTATATATATACCATTAAATTTGCTATGACTCGATGACTCTGAATTCAAACTTCGCATTACTATGCGTACGGCTGTGCTGAGACCTTCAGCTGATTTATTCCATTTTTATTTAGTGACATTTAGTTAAAATGAGACTGAAATGGTAAATGAGTGAATTATTCAGGTTTGAAACTGAAAGAAAAAGTTGCTAGTAGTCAAGAATTACTCAAACGAATGTGTTATAGCTCTCCACCTCATTAGAATATCGTTCCCTAAAATTCCCGCCATGGTCCGTCGTAGTTTAGTGGTTTTCGTGAATTTTGTTCATATTCTCTGATTTCCTTTTGTATTATCACATCCTAATCCTCCATATGTATCGTTGGTTGTTATAGTAGGTTGTCCTTGAAGATATCATATTTTTATCTATTTTATTTAGGACTCTGGACCTCTTGAAGCTGTTTTCCCGCGCATTTTCAGGTTTCTAACTTCATGTCCTTGTATCTCATTCATTTCTGGATGTTTTCTCACGTTCTTAGTATCATAAATTTTCATTTATTCCCACCTTTCCAATGGTACTAATATTGTGTCCTATTTCCTGGTATTCGTTGAGTTAGCAAAGATTCGCGCGCACATTCGGTAATCACATGCATCGTTCGTATGCGGGAGCCGTTTTCGTTTATTTGTTCGGGATTTATGATATGCGCGGGTGTTTATTTCTTTCATATGGGCTTCTGTGATTTATTTCAGATTTTTCCCTCATGATCTAAGGTTGTTTTGCACTTTCCATGCTTTGTTTTGACCGGGCTCTTCCTTATTTGGACGGAAATTGGTCTTCGCGATCTGCCGAAGTGCGGATCTCGGTTCCGACGGCCGGTTCCCTGTGCATCGCCACCCTCACGTGTCATTACACATGATGCAGATTCCTATATTCCCGTCATGGGTATAACTTCACAACAGCTGGACCGTTTGGGCTGAGAATTTGCATAACTATAGTTTCCTATTTTTCATAATTTCCGTGTAAATTTCGTTGTATGTTTTAATTATGGATCCTACGCAATCATTGTCTTGTCCCTGAGCTCGGACTTTTGATGTCGCTATTCCCGTTATTGGATTTCTCATTAACGCATGATCCTTTTATTATGAAAATTTGGGAGGATTAAGAGTAGATCCTTTCCTTTCTAATGGGCTATCAAGCTTGTCTCGGTCGTTACTAGTTAATCTTCGCGCTTGCTTTTTAGACATTGTCCTCGTTTTGCAGGAGTTTTAGTCATATCTCCGTCGTTTATGGGTAGTTTCCCCTGTAATTACTCTCATTGGTTCCGTTTGGGGGACATCTACATTTCCTATTATAAACACGACTTTGACTTTTGCATTAGTTCCTGAGGAATCTTTGTTCCGTGGTACTTCCATCCTTGCTACGTTGTGCGGACATGGGAAAGTAGTTTCCGTGGAGGTTCTCTGATTATTTTTATAGTCAAATCTTGGTCGATTGTCCTAATTCTTGGTTTAATATTTGCTATAAATTCCCCCGAGAATTCTGTCTCGTTGATGGTAAGCTTGAAGTATTTTTGTTATTTTTCTTTCTTTCGATTTATCATGTATAGTCATAATAATTCGTAAAAATTCGTAAAATTTGTTAAAATTCAGGTCCTTCTATGTTCTCATATCTACTTGTCGTATGAGGTTTTGTGATTTATCTGGCATATTTCCATAATGGGTTTCCATAGTGTGGCCGTTATTTCTCCTACAGCGCACAGAGCATGCGGCGCAGGAAGTGCGCAGGAAGTGGAGTGGGTCCGGATGCGGGTCCGGGTCCGGGCTAAGTCAGGGTATGTGCCCTGACACCATGTTGCATCTGACTGTTTTAATTATAGTCTCACAATAATTGTTAATCAGGCCATCAGAAATTCGTAAATTGAGCTCACCAGTCTCCATGTCCATGGAGCTGGATGCACAGGTTCTATCTGAAGACAGGTTGAAGCGGCAGTCAGTGTCACCATATTTGTAGCAAGTTGCAGTATGTTTATGCACCTGGCAAGACTTAACAAGATTATACAGATCTTGTTCACACTCAAAAGCAGTGTGGGTTTCAGGATGGCAATGCACACTACATGGATGAAAAGAATCAGATAAACAATGTGACTCAGCATGGCCTTGGGGAAGAACATTTGCAATTGTGTCATCCAAGAACTTGAGAAGCTTATCATGCCAAGCAAAGTCATGGTCCTTGAGAACCTGTCAGGGCACACACCCTGACTAGCCCGGACCCGGACCCGCATCCGGACCTGCTACACTTCCCGTGCGCATTCCCGCACCGCATGCTCCATGCGCCACATGCTCCGTGCGCCGCATGGTCCGGCCCCAGATCCTGCCTTCATGTGACTTCCGGGTATCCCCGGAAGTTTTCCTGATATGGTGGCCACTGTGGGAAGATGAGAAGTTAGCTTCCTTCTCATCTCCTTACCCACAGTAGATTGTGCCCTGGATAGGGCTGGCCAGACCTGAGGCTGTGGGCCATAGGGGAGGGTCATGGGGACCCGGGAGTCGTCCCCTGACAGAACCCGATCCTTTATTTCTTGTGGATTCAGTGCCCCTTCAATCCATATGAGCATATGACAGTGTAGAGTACCCCTGCCTTGTGATTCTACAGTCCCATAATAAGCACTACAGGGCCCTAGTATACCATCTTCACATATTTCATCTGCATTAGTGTGGCCCAAAATTGCAGAGATAAATGCATCGATCACAAGTTTGAAAAAAGTGCTGCTAGGAAGGGATTGCATGCCACAGCAGTTGCTTGTTCCCAATAACATGGTACTTGGTCAGGCAACAATTCATCAATGTCAATATCTGCTCCAGACAAGAATTTTAGGATCAGACTGTAAACATCAGCTGGATTAATGGTCACAAAAAAGCTGGGAGGACCACGGTCAAAAATTAGGGCATGAATCTCATTTCGCATCTGTGCACATGCACTTTGGGAACCAGGTATTTTGGATCTAATGAGGGAGACATCTTTCATCAATTGGAAAATAGCATGCTCATCAGCACTCTGTGGCGAAAAATGCCCTCCATTGGATAATTGTGCAAGAGTGGCATCAAAAGTCTCTGAGCAGATATTTGAGTGATGCTATTAGCAACACGATCAAAATTTCAGTGTGTTGTCTTCAATCTGCTGTGAAGAGAAGTCTTTTGTCACTGAATGATGTTGAAGACAAGAAAAAGAAAAGAATAATGTTCTTGAAACCTTCGATCAGAGAGGGAAAAAAGGTGCTTAGCCATTTTCTCTAAGCTCAAGGGAGTTCTCCTAGACAGATGAAACCCTCCAATTCCATAAGGGAACAATGTGGGGTACAATAGTGGTAATAAATGAGGATCTGAATAGTGGTTCACAGGGTCAGAAGAATGACCCACCTGAATGTGGCTCCCAATCTCTCCCATTTGGACGTTTGAGATGGCAAATTGCAGCAGCAGCCATTTCAGCAGTGTTTGACCCTCACATATCAATGTCTGTCACAACCACACTTTGTAGAATGCTGTCCTGTTCAAGCCTGGATCCATTGAGCATTGGATCATCACTACCTTGGGCTTCACCTGCCACAGTGTTCTCATGCTGCTCAATGGGCACTGGTGTGATATCATCAAGTGGAAGCTCATTTAAACATGAATTTTTCAAAATCACATCAGTATACAAGGGGTTGTTGGCAGTCAACCATTCTAAAGCCAGTCGCACTTTCTCATGTTGCACTAACAAGGGACGAGCATTTTTCATTAGCCAATCCTTTGTGGGCATCATGGAACCCACAAAGATGACACACATTGCAGTCACCACCTCTCCCAAGGGTGGAGGCAAGAAGCGAGAGAGAGCTTCAGGCTTTGCTGGAAATACAATAACATGTCCCCTCAGTGCTCATTGAGAGGTGGGATTAGAAGAGGAGAAGGCTGCTCCAGTAGCACGAGAGTTTGTTGCAGAATCGTCACACAAATGAATAATCCAAGTTTTCGCATGACATCTGGCTATTAAAGCTTCCTCAATCAAAGTAAGATCACAAAGACAGGGAGGTACCGGACCAAAATACAAATCATTGGCAATGGCTGTGGGTGGTAATTGATGTCGCTTCAAACTGAGATGATGTCAGGGGACGACTCCTGGGTCCCCATGACCCTCCCCTATGGCCCACAGCCTCAGGTCTGGCCAGCCCTATCCAGGGCACAATCTACTGTGGGTAAGAAGATGAGAAGGAAGCTAACTTCTCATCTTCCCACAGTGGCCACCATATCAGGAAAACTTCCGGGAATATCCGGAAGTCACATGAAGGCAGGATCCGGGGCCGGATCATGCGGCGCATGGAGCATGCGGCACGGGAATGCGCATGGGAAATGTAGCAGGTCCGGATGCGGGTCCCGGTCCCGGCTAGTCAGGGTGTGTGCCCTGACAGATGACAAGAATGGCAGAGGAGAATATGAACACATGAATCATTGTCATTAACAATTCCCTCTGGGCAGAGTGACAAGTTCTGAAGTAAGGGTACATTTGGGATTGGGTGTGGAACATTTGAAGGGATATTCAGGACAAGGAGTGTCTCATCATAGGAGTCCAACTTTACAGGATTCGGCAGCATCTCCTGCGAGTACTTGGCTTCACCACATACAGCACAAACAGAAGTTGAAAGATGTTTCACATCAAGCAACGTATGGTATTTAGAAAGCAAATGTGTTTTCGCTGCTGGTGTAAGTCTCTGAGGCCAATGGCTGCCACATTGTTGCTTCCAATGATTGTATTCAAATGCTGTAGGGAGAGTGGGGGGGCAGAGCCAACTGATTTGCATGGTGGACCAACAATTGACGGAGGTTGGTCAGCAAAGCCAGTGGATCAAAGGGGAGGCATAAGTGATTCAATAATTGTCTCAATACACATTCTTGGATGTCAACAGAGATGAACCATCGAAGAAAATGAGCAGCCTTTGTTCCACTGATCTTGGCAACATGCAACATTGGGAATGAAATTTTGCTGGGGATGTATCGTTATCATCAAAATTGCAAGGGGCATCAGATACTATATGTTCAAAGACAATAGTGTGCAATTGTTCTCGCAGGGGAAAAGAAGAATGAAGTGTGTTCATCAAACAATGATTACAACACAGTGCAAGCAATTGGACTCAGGTGAGCAGTTCAAAAGATCGCAGTATTGTGAAACGATTGGGGAATTGGAGGTGGATGTTACTGAACACAAGTAAAATGTCCCGACAGTGATCAAGAGAGGGGGGTGATTGGTTTGGGTCAATAGCAAGGAGAGCAATGCAGATGGTGTGTAAAAGCGCATGAGAGGCCTGAGAGGACAGGAGGTAGTCAAAAAGAAGATGGAAAAACAAATCACAAGAGGGATATTGAGATTGGAGTGCAATACACACACCTTGCATGCTGGAGTAACAATCACCAGTCAGGGCATGGTGTAGGAGCAAATTCCATTGATTGTTGATTGACAATGAAAAATCATATAAGCCGTGAGCAATTGTTTCTTTGGTTAGACGATAATTGCATTCAGCTTCAGTGGTAAGGCGTTTAAATGGCCACAGGCCATGTAAAAAAACTCGGTGGGCAGAGGACGCCATAGAGTGGTGCAAAAGTTTGGGCAGGAAGGAGTGGGAGGGTGGAGGTTTGGGTGTAGGGCCAAGTGGTGAGTTAGGATCCGCAGCGGTGAGGGACAACTTGGGTTAGCTCAAAGTAAGCACGTTGCGGTAATCTGGAGTGTCATAAAGATGAGGTAAAAAAGGGGAATAACCAATAATGGTGCTCAGGTATTCAGTTTGTGCACGCAAGACCCGCTACAGAGTAGCAGGAATACATACCATCATATCACTTACAGCCTCATGTGCTGAGCAACCCCACTGAGACCTCACATAAGGTCATGAAACCTAAAATGGAAAATGAACACGTCAGCACAAGTGGCAGAAATGGCGTAATTTCACCCGGACAGCTGTGCAGGTAATACAATACAACACGTAAGCAAAAGTGGCATGTTTTACATAATTATGGGGGAGGCAGAGTGTCCTGCAGTGCAGGTAACTAAGTAGTCACATGGTGGATTCTGCTCTCCCAGAATGTTCCCACGCTAACGCAGGAATGTGGCTGTTCAGGTTACACCCTTGAGACTGAGACTCATCATGTCATAAGGCTGCAGAATGCCTAGGAATCGTTGCAAGATTCGCAGGGGCTGTTTGTTCCCCGACGTCACGAAGTGAGATGAGGGAGGTGCCCCCAATTCGACTACCTATCGGTTCCAGAATTCATCTGCTCGGGGTAGTGCACTCGACTGGCCTCCACAGGAGGTCGACCCTTGCATTCATCGTATAGAGGCAATGGGTCCGCGGTATTCAACCCTTACACACAGACCGCAGATGAATCTCATTACCACCAGTTATCGGGAACCACCACTGCCTCCAGTTTCTGGCAGAACTTGCCTGCAGGCTTCCACCCTTCGCTACCACCCCCCGTACTTGGCCGGAACCAGGGACACCCAAAACAACAGGGATCCCATGGAATCTCCAGCTCATCCAAACTCGGAGGAAACTCATTTTCGCCGTGTATGGATTCTATGGGATATGAGCCATTGCGTTGACCAGGTAACTCCGACCGTCAGCGGCTACCAATCGGACAACAATGGTACCACAGGTACGACAGTGTTAGGCCATCAACCACCGAGGAAGTGTCTTTTTACCGGCCGACGACGCCCCATTACAAATGTGCAACTGTTGTATTCCCTACTTCCCCCAGCTTGTGCTATTTTATGAAGACACACCGCTCGCGCGCCCTTAATGTCGAACGTGGGGGGGATGTATATTGCTACAGCATATCTCACGGCCTGGACACCAGTATTTACAGATTATATCTACGCAGACAACTAGGTGCGACGTTGTAAATGGGGAGTCGTAAATTAGTAATATACATGGCCACAAAAGGCATTGGATGAAGCACGCCCAGGACAAAGAGACGCAAAAGTAGAAGAGAAAGTAGAAGATTTCAGTGGATCAAGCTCACGAAAGGTTCGACGTTCAGACAGCGAACGGGTGCTAAATGGGCATTGCCTTAGGTGCCACATTTATCTGGACCAATTACTTCCCACTGAATCCCAGAGCTCCCTCAACCTGATAGCAATCCTCTCGTCGTTCCCGGCTGCCCGATATAGAGGAGAGGGCACCACATAAACACCACCAACAATTCTCCTAGTCAGTGGGGAAATATCAGCAAAAGGACGTAGTACAGGGAGGTACCAGTGAGGTGGCAGGGCCAGACTAACAGCATAGAGTACATAATGAGGATATGATTCACAGACAGCTTGAAGAATCATATTGACATCCTGAAGTGTTGGCGAGACTGGGAAGATTATTCTTGACAACTCTTTGACGGGTTTACCGACAAGCAAGTGGTCAAGTTCTCTCGAAAGCGTGACCTAGTATACAAGCACCAGCCACAAGTCACTTAGTAGGGCCGAGAACTGGATAGGAGCGGGACTTGCCTCGTCGTTTGCCTCGGACGGACTTGATATAGCGACAGACGGCTGATTGTGAGCCCGGCGCCTGTCAAGTCGAATATAGTATTCGAGTCCGGGAAGACGAATTGCATGCATAGTGAGAAATCTATGAGGTATTCCCTCGGCATCCACCCACAGGCTCACGGAATGAATCGTCGTATGAATTGCTTCCAAATTGTTGCAAAGCACAGCGCAGTAGTTCTTTGCAGTAAACAAAAGCCTTCCTTTACGAGGGGGGTGTACGCTGTCACTTGTTGATGGTTCGGGCTGGTATCGACTATTTATCGTGGAAGATTGCGGATCAATTGGCTGTAGTACGTCGTCCATATGAAACCAATGGCAAGTCGTCTTGGCCGAACCAATCGTCAAAGGAGAATTGTCCATGATGAGATGCGGCAAATGATTAACGATCGATCGTGGGCGTTCTGGAGCCCGTGTAAAGAAACCATTGGGAATGGCAGGACTTGAAAGGCGTCTAAACCAGTTGCCCAGAATAAGAGAAAACCGTCCTAACAGTGCGGCCCGGGTGGGTTGGGACTGTGAGACAAAAGACCGTGGTGAGAGCATATACTCACTACTAAAATGTGTCGGGGAAAGCGCTGGGTCATCGATAGCCTCCATTCGGATACATGAACGTTTGAAGACTGGCACAATACTAGTGGTGGTGGGTGATAGATTATGATCATTTCCTGAGTCGCTAAGGTCGGGACGAAAGACGTACGCTGGCAGGATTGATGTATGGGGGATTGTTGGCACACTTCGCACGCGTAATTGCAGTTTTATGTGGAGCAGCTGTTGAGTGGGCCAGATGAATTGTGTGCCGCACTCCACAGCCTGGACTCAAACCGAATGGCCGGAGCGTGGGGAGCATTGAGATAAGCTCCACGTTGACATCATTAAGGGGCATAAGAGGATTCAATTTCTTCGCCCTGGCCTCATGGCCGGAGCACGCCGATTATATCTAAGCAGACAACTAGGCGCGGCGTAAATGGGGAGTCGCAAATTAGTAGAGTAATACATGGCAACACAGGCATTAGATGAAGCACACCCAGGACAAAATGTTGAATGTTGAAGATTTCAGCACGAAAGGCCTCGACGGCGTTCACATAGGGAACGGGTGCTCATCGGCAGCTTCATCCGATGAGCCTGCATAAGGGAGCCGGAAATGGGGGTTTGCCTTGGGTGTCACATTTATCTGGACCAATTATTTCGGAGCTCCCTCAACCTAATAGCAATCCTCTCGTCGTTCCCAGCCCCCCGATGTATAAGAGAGGGCCCCACCACATAAACACCACTGTGCTGTAGTTGTAAGAAATATTGAATAATTGAGGACCACCACCAACAATTCTCCTAGTCAGTGGAGGAGTATCAGTAAAAGAACGTACAGGAAGGTGCCAAAGTGGCAGGGCCAGACTGACCGCATAGAGTACATAATGAGGATATGATTCACAGACAGCTCGAAGAATCATATTGACATCCCGAAGTGTTGGCGAGATTGGGAAGATTATTCTTGACAACTCTTTGACGGGTTTACCAACTTGAACCAAGTGGTCAAGTTCTCTCGAAAGCGTGACCTAAGTATACACACACCAACCATAAATCACTTGGTAGGGCCAAGACTGGATAGGAGCGGGACTTGCCTCATCGTTTGCGTCAGACTGACTTGATATAGCGATAGACGGCTGATTAGGGCCCGGGCGCCGGTCAAGTCGAATGTAGTATTCGACTCCAGGAAGACGAATGGCGTGCATAATGAGGAATTTATGAGGCACTATTCCCTCGGCATCCACCCACAGGCTCACAGAATGAATCATCGTGTGGGGTGCTTCCGGATTGTTATAAAGCACAGCGCAGTAGTCCACTACCGTGAACGAAAGCCTTCCTTTACGAGGGGGGTGTATGCTGTCACTTGTTAACATTTCGGACTGGCATCGACCATTTATCGTGGAAGATTGCAGATCACCAATTGGCTGTAATACTTCCATATGAGACCAGTAGCAAGTTGTTTTGGATGAATCGATGATCGGTAAAGCAGAATTGTCCACGATGAGATGTGGAGAATTATCGACAGTCGACGGTGGGCGTTCTGGAGTCCGTGTAAAGGAACCAGCGGAGATGGCAGAAAGACGTCGAAACCAGTTACCCAGAATAAAAGAAGACCGCCCTTAGTAATGTGAGTGGGGTGAGTTGAGACTTGGAGAAAAAAAAACCATGATGAAAACATATACTACCAGTAAAGTGTGTCGGAGAAAGTTCTGGGCCGTCGATGATCTCCATTTGGATGCACGAAGGTTCAAAGACTGGCACTATAGCGGGGATTATGATCATTTCCCAAGTCGTCACTGCATCAAGGGATGGAGACGTACTGGCAGGATCGGTGTGTGGAGGATTTTCGGTACGTACCCTTGGCACGCGTACTTGCGGTTTTAAACAACTTGAACTGTGGAGCAGCCTCTCTCAAGGTGAGGCCGCATATATGTGTATGGTGGAGCCAGCGCCTACAGCAGTGAATGATATGACTCGGAGCGTTGATCAACAACCAACTGCGGTGGAGGCTTGGCTAACCATCGTTGACATGCACCACTTCTACGCGTTTAAGTAAGGTACAATCCGCAGACAAACTGAGCCATAATATTGCAAGGAGTGTATATATCCGCTCAAATGGGCCGACACATGGCCGCCATAGGAGACGTTGGGGGCTGTGATGCGTCATCTAACGAATAGACGACGTACCGCAGTTTCCAATCCGAATGACGTCAGGCTGGGGAAGGGCGATGAGGATGATCTGGCGGCTGTACCTTCACGATTTACAGGATTCAACCGCTAAAAACAGGTTAATATCAACCTACTTGAACTGAACGGATGGTCATGACTATTTACCCCAGCTCGACCCCGGGGCCACATATGAATACAGGCTTAGCATGCAAAGAAAAGAAAAAGGTGCGCCCGATGGAATGACTATGAGTAATTAGTTGTGTCGCTCGTTCATTTTTTTCGCACTCCGCTGTAATTTTAATTTTGCGCCACCTCGCGCCGCCGGCTCCTCGCGATTCTAAGGGGCCAAGGGATGTATGCTGGTGGGGCTCGATACCGCATTACTCTTCATTGCAGAAGTCACTGTTCTGTGGAAATATTAGTAAAATCTCGACGCTGAAATTATGTCATACGTATGTCTGCTTACTCGCTTCTCTTCATTACTTTGTTATCTTTACTAACACTCTTCCCAAACTTCGTACCCCATTCCAGTATAACGGTGCGTAAAGGACATGAACCTGTCTCCCCAGCCCATTAAATACGAAACCATATACCTGTGGGCCCGACTGTTCCGCAAGTTCGTGGTTCGCTGGGCAGGAGGCAACGGAACAATACATTCCAAGTTCGCTCTCGACTATCCAAGATCTTTTCATCTTCGATCTACGAATTGATATTCAACGTACTTTTCAACCAAGGATGAAAGATTATATAAGAAAATTGCAGTGCAGAGTCGGGCACAGCACCACAAGCAGTGAAGCACTCTATGTAGTTACAGAGACATGACGTGTAAGCCCAGTGAGCTTGTTAACCAATTGGGTCAATATCACACAGTGCTTTTGCTTAAAGGAGAGAGAACACGCAGGCTAATCCGAGCCTATCTGAATGATAAGGCCAGGCTTATTTAACTTGGATGACTGCACGTGGAGCCTTATTGCGATTTGGCAATTCATTCCAAAAGGGGCAAGGAGCATTCATTTCAATTCAATTTCCTCGCCCTCCCTTCAATTCGTTCATCCTCCTCGACGAAACCATGAATTGGGCTTCCATCCAACTGACACAATCCCTAGCTGGGAGCTGAGCTTACACCACAAACACATCATCCATGCATGACGTGCATCATTCGTATGTTAGATCGGGGTGTGATGGAAATTTGGAAGCACGCCCAACCCTACTACTACACTCGGTCAATACCATTCCATTCGTCTCCTCATCCTGCAGCCGGGGTGCCAACAGCCCCTTGGCGACCCTAGGAATGCGATACCAAACGAACGAAGACAAATACTGCTTGCCGCCGAACGAATCCGTCAGGAATTCCCAAGATAGCTCGAAGTGAAGGGCCTGTACGACAAAGGTGCAATTTTTGGTAAGGCTCGACGTAGGCATCTTCGCCTAACGGGGAGGTGCTGAATGGAATGGGGCACAGATCGCGGCCTCTCCGTGCATGTTGTCGGGGCACTAACCTCTCCGGGTCCTTACCCTTTGTGTTTCAAATGCTCGACGGGATTTAAGTAGCTTCCGATATGCTCTTTCGTCCATTTACCTTTACGTTCGCGCTCTGGTTGACTGACTTGGTAAGTTGCTCCTCAGCTTGATGGGGTCTGTAACTTGCGTACGCCCAGTTAGACCTGGTGTCTACTTCACGGTCTCGCTGCTAGCCTTCGTGAGTTCTCCTGGGCGCTGTGAACCATCGCCCCCCTTCTAACTTGGGCCTTTTAGCCCTCCTGCTTCACATTTGCCTCACTTCTGTTTTCGTGTATAACATTGATCTAGATCATCTTCTAGTCAAATCCCCGGGTCGTTAGCTGTTGATGGAGCCCCACGGATCCGCACTCTTTAGTAACCTTGAACCACCCGCGGACGCAACGACCATCGAACAGCTTGATGAAGTTGCCCGTCGATTCGGGGGCAAACCAGATTCCGTTTCGTGAAGCTTACAGCATCCTCTCGGATGCGGTCCAATCATTCAGCAATGACCAACGAAAAAAGAAACCCTTGCGCATGCCGAATCAGACCGATTAGAACGATTTGAAACGGTTCTAACTTAGGAGGATGCCTCACTGGTTTGCCTGACAGGATGTGTCGCCTTCATTTCCTTATGCAGGTTCTCCATTGGTGTCACCCATTTGCAAGTTGCACCGTTGACAATTCGCTCATATGTCCGATTGCAAGGGATGGGGAGCTTGCCGTGGTGAAGTTATCGTTTGCGAAGGGAGTTGGGTTGGGATTTTGGCAAGAATGGGTGTCGTACCTCACCTTGAACGTTATTATCGAAAGCCACGCACTTCAACTTCCTGTTTCTGGAAGCACAAGCCATGCTGAACTCAGGAGCAGTTATCGGCGCTGCGAATCCCCCTCCCCCTCCCCTCGCTACAATTCGCTCGGTGTCGCCCCTCTGTCATCATGGTAGCCCTTACATGCATTGGCCCGATGCCGATACGTCAACACCAGAACGAGGCACAGTGTAGATGCTTGGAACGAAGCCAGTTCCAGCCAAGCACACACTACACCCAACAACATGCATCCATGCTACCAACCACGGAGCGGGCGAAATGGAAAAAAAAATCACTGGCACTTCCTTCGCAAATGATAACTTCGCCACGGCAAGCTCTCTGTCCCCCCCGCTAGCGCAATTGAACATATGAGCGAGTTGCACTTGCAGATGATGGATGACGCCAATGGAGAACCTGCGCAAGGAAATGAAGGCGACACGTCTTCTTAAGGCGAAACAGTAAGCATCCTCATAAGTTGGAACCGCTTCACATTGTTTTATCGAAGATTTATATATACATGTTTAAGTGACTCTTGGTTTAGGTGCGAGCTTCGTAACTGTGAGGATCTCAAGATCGGCAGGGGTCGATAGCTGAGGTAAAAGGGGGTTCAGCGAACTCACTCAAAAACGCTTGAAAGAAGCAGCATGTAATAGCAGGACTGGCGAAGGCTGAGCTATATAAGGGAGGCTATATAGGCCAAGAAGTGGGTCGCCTGCCTCAGAGTATCAGCGGCCAACTCGGCTACACCCAGCAGCAGCCTGCTCCTGGTCTCTCTACATCATCACCTAATTTTTCGGACAGTAATAATACACCGCTCCCGTTGGGTTGGGAAGAAGAATGATGAGCGCTGATACGTGCTGGAAGCAACGCCCGATGGCAAGGGACCCGAACCGGCCAAAATGGGCAACTTGTTTCGTCCAGCCATGCCTCGTACATGGCTTCTCCCAAAAATCAAACCAATCTGTTCGGTCCGGGGAACACTGCTTCGCTGCTTCTCCTTCCTGGGGCTTGTGACCCTACCAATTGGCTCCATCCCGTGATCCCGAACTTCACTGTGCCTGTGATTCAAGTGTATCTTTGCGTTTCGCTTGTACTTGCATTCCGTCTTGTTTCGCCGTTATCGCTTCATGATCGTGTTGACTGTGACTCTTTCCTTTGGCTCATGATTCTGACGTGGTTTGCCTCCTCGCTTCTTGTTCATTGTTCATTGAGTCCGTTCAATTTATTACGTGCAATCCTTCACCCAATAACCAAAAATGTGCCATCGTACGCCATCCAGGCAACTGAACTGCAACGTGCGTTTGACACCATGTTAGTCGACTTTCGCCAGCCATCCCGGTGATTTGTATATAATGAAAGTTCGACGACAATTCATGATCTGACGCGAGATGGAGACGGGGTTAGGTACTAAAGGAGGAGCGGCGAGGCTGTACACAGGTGGAGAGAACAGGTAGCGGCATAATGGATGTGGTAGTACATGACAACGCAAGTCCTAGGGTAGGTGACCAGCCTCTCATCAGCGGGAAGAGCGCCTTAAGAGGGATTGATTATCTTGGGTGCAACATTCATCTAGACCTATTCTATCCTCCTGAATCCCGGAGCTCCCTCAACCTAGTAGCAATCCTCTCGTCACTCCCGGCTCCTCGATATAGAAGGGAGGGCACACCACCGTGCTGTAGGTGTAGGAAGTGTTGAATAGTTGATGACCACCACCAACAGTTTTCCTAGTCGGCAGGGATGTATCAGTGAAGAACATGCAGGAAGGCGAAGCAGGGCCAGACTAACCGCAGAGAGCGCGTAATGAGGATACGATTCACAGACAGCTTGAAGAACCATGCTAACATCCCCAAGCGTTGCCGGGACCGGGAAGATTATTCTTGACAATTCTTTGACTGGTTTACCGACAAGTAAATGGTCAAGCTCTCTTGAAAGTGTGACCTACAAATGACAGCCCTAAGTCGCTGGGTGTAAAGTCTGGAAAGTGGGAAACTCACTTCGTCGCTCGCCTCCGACTGACTTGATACAGTAACGGATGGCTGATTGTGAGCCCGGCGCCTGTCAAGTCGAATGTAGTATTCGAGGTCAGGAAGACGAGTGGCGTGCATAGTGAGGAATCTATGAGGTATTCCCTCTGCATCCACCCACAGGCTCACGGAATAAATCATTGTGCGATTTGCTTCGGGATTGTTGAAAAGCACGGAGCAGTAGCTCATTGCACTAAACAGAAGCTTTCCTTTACGAGGGGGATGTACACTATCGCTTGTTGATGTTTCGGGCTGTGAAGTTCGGGATCGACTGCTTATTGTGGGAGGTTGCGGGTCAGTTGGCTGTGATACGTCCGTATGAGACCGGTAGTGAGTGATCCTGACTGAACTAATCCTTGAAGGAGAATTGTTCATGATGAGATGTGGAGAATTATCGACGGTCAATGGTGGGCGTTCTGGTATCCGCGTAAAGAAACCACTGGGAACGGCAGAAAAGCGTCTAAACCAGTTACCCAGAATAAAAGAGAATCGTCTAAATGCAACTGGGGTGGCGATGAGACTCTGAGGCCAAACTTGAAGACCCTGGCGAGAGCATATTACCCACTAAAGTGAATCGGAGAAAGCTCTGGGTCATCGATAGCCTCCATTCGGATGCATAAATTTTTGAAGAATGGCACAATAGTGGGTGCTGATGGATCATGATCATTTACTAAGTCGCCACTGCATCTAGGGATGAAGACGTACTGACAGGATCGTTGCAGGATTTGTGGCACCCATAATGCACGCAGTTTTTAAACAAAGCCGCGGATCAGCTGAGCAAGCATTCATCTGATACGCCGCCCAAAACAAGTCTGCTAGTTTATTTTCGAAAAAGATCTCGTCCCCGGCGTTCCCTTACATGGGAAATGCCTTATCGGAGCGCACTTTAAGGCTCTATCCTTAACGCCGTCTCTTTACGCTTCCGTTTACATCGTTTATCCTTATTAGCGTTGAGCACCCTGTGGTATGAGCAAGGACTCTCGGGTAAAGGTAGAGCGTGAAGATGACGATTGTGCACTATTGCCGAAGATCTGTGGGTAGATAGATAGAGAGAAAAAAGAAAGAGGAGAGAGGGTGGTGGTGGTGGTGATTGGAAGCGAAAGATGGAAGTTCAAGTTTGGCATAGGTCTGTACGACTATTGAAATTCAGATAAGTAGCAAATAACAATAAATAACAATAAATAAATGAAAAATGAGAAAAGGCATTTTACGTAAAATTAGGTGATCGAGTTGAACTTCAACATGGCTCCTATCCCGTATACCCTATCTCAATGGCAGACGATGACGTGGCTTTAGGCCAAACAGATAATTGAAATTGAGATAGAGCTGGGATGCCAAATAACAGTAAACATATGATCATTTATTTATTTACTGTTATCTGGCATCCCCTAAACCTATCTCAATTTCAATATTCACCTTGGCTCAAACTAGTACCATTCTACAAGCATGGGTCAGAACTCTGAACACGCAGTTCGAAATAATTCTAGCCGAGGTGCTAAGGTCGCATTGATATGTATTAGGTCAGCAACTCCAACAAAAATGGGCTCACGATTGGAAGCGGCGTGCTAACGCGACCGCGGGGCAACAAATCATAACGTGAACGTAGCGTACAGTAGAGCATCTGGCCGCACGGCATAGCTCGCCGAGAACTGGTTCTGATTGTGTGGAGCGCACATGAGTTTTTCGTGAGCACCGATAGATACGAATCGACCACTGCACCGGCGGACTCTAGGAGCTCATCGAGAATTGGACGGGAGGAAAAATCTCCTACCAGATCAGGTTCGCGAGGGAATTGATAATGTGTGATAAAGCCGGATATTCCTGACTGTTCTCACCGCTATTTGGAGAGAGATGAAGGAGAGCCGCGCGATGAGTACCTAATAAGCAATACTGAATTATGAATGAGACCCCAACCGACTACCCGATTGAGTGTCGGAGCGCGGCGGCTTGACGGCTGAATTACCCAAGTGCTGGAGGTGAGCTGAAAATCATAAGGCGGACGACGCCCATCGAGTTGAAACCAAGTCAACTACCATCTCACTCCCCCAGCCATTATGTCGTGTCACTTGCACAGCGGGCTACTCTGCCAATCTAATTTTGTCGACGAGCAGTTAGGCATTATCGTCTGGATGATTGAGACGAAGCAGCCTAACTAGCGCGAATATGACGCTAAAGCTGAGAATTGTGAAATCTGTGCATCTGGTCGGCCGGTGGAAGATAGTCTCTTTCTCCAGCTGCAATGGATTACCGAATGCGCGTTATGGTGGAGACTTGGAGAGCATTTCTAAGTGTACCCCGTTTGAAGCTGGCGATCCTGTGCATGGCCCCAAGACAGGGCACACATGAACGACAAAACCGGAAGAAAAGGAACCCAGAGGGGGGGAATGGGCCTCCACCTCAGTCCTTAGCGGCCACAGATAAATTGGGCGATACGACGGCGGATGCAGTGAGTCGTGTTTGGCGCAGGTATGAAGCCAAGGTGACTGATGAGGACCGTTCCCACTCCAACTCGACTCCACCTTGAAACACGATCATTCGCATCCGCTCGACTCCGCCAGTTGCGTCTTCCCAAAGGAGGCGGACATCACTCCCGCCCTTTCGGCAGTTTCCGCGCAAGCTGATCACGAGCATACATCTCCAAGGGTCGTCTTGAGCCCAACACTCAGTACTAGCGAGTCCCGATCCCCAAATGAGTAACACCGACGGGCCCCCTTATTTTCCAAGACACAATAAACCCGGCCGTCCCGCTTTGATACAGCTAAGGCATGACTTAAAATACTGGGTAGGCAAGATCCCAGTCCCCACTGAAGTAGAGACTTAAAAGCCACCCTCGTGGGACCGTTCAACTTCAAGGTCCCTTCTGAGCTTCATCTTCATGTGCATTTAATTTTCATCTCAAATCCTGCTGACCGCCGGACCCTCTGACCCGGCACTAGGTCGGCCGTGGTTCCAGGAACAAGTTGCTTGATAGGGCATCTCAGGCTGGGCGAGATGAACGTCTTTTATCAGTGGCATAGATTCCGCACGCAACAGAAAGGGGGTTTGCAATGGCTTTTTGGTCTCATTGGGTGCAGCAAGCCGTGGCAGATCTTCTTTGTCCCCGAGCATCATCGTCGCCGGTAGGTCAGGAAATGTTACGATGCCTCGATCCATGTTTGATAGGGGAAATGTCGATGCATTCATCGCCATTGTTTTCAAGGCGAGAACGAATTATCTCAATACGAGGGATACTTCGAATGCACCACGGATTTTTGTGACCGGACGCACTTGCTGTGATGCTGTGTAGAATCCTTATCCACGACATCCTGTTCAATGACACACTGCATGACTCCAAGAAATGGAGCTTCAGTGGCGATCCGTCCACTCTTAAGCGCTGTCTCGTCAATGTGATCCCCAACGCAGCAACTGAACCAGAGGGTGACCAGATCGTTGTTGCAACCGAGTAATGCTGATTTTGCTTGCCTTCTCATACGAATGCAATTATACATCTTCCTATTCAAGAACTACTCCAGGTTAATGCCATTCGTCTACATGCTAACAGCCAGCATCAAATTTGCCCGTTTGATTGATGCTTTTACAAATTATACACTGGCAGAATCCGTGCCAGGTCTAGGGATTGTCGGCAAAGCGGACATTCAGCCTACGCAAAGAATTCATCAGTACAAAAGCGAAACACTGAATGGTTTGACAGGGTGAAATATCTCACCTTTTCTCTTGCCCATCCGACAACACACGTCCAGCAGAACATATGACCGCACTCCGTCACGGAGCTCGCAGTCCGCTCTTCAAGGCAAAGCGCACATTTCCGCTGACCCACTCTCACTTCAGGATCTATTGTGCCAAGATCTAGCACAGTTCGGTCTCCCCAAGGATCTTCCGTGGAATTGGCGAGTTGTGCTGGAGTTGGCACGAGGGATGAGATGGGTTCTGAGTCAATGTATGTTTCTGTTGATAAATTCGGCTCAGATTCGGAAGGAGAGGAGGCCGATAGGGTAGAAAGAGCAGGAAGGTACTGATGAACGAGGTTATAGAGTCTGTTCAGGAGTCGGATAGACAGTAGAATCCCTAGGAAAGAATAGGACGGTGGCTTAAAGTTTGGGTTGACGGAAACGGATGACATCTAAATTCAAAGGGTAGCCCTCAGGGAACAAATCTCCGACGGTCGTTTCTGCGTACTAACATGTCTAACTCTGAGTATCCTTGACGATAAGCTGTAGTAGGCTCCAGAAAAATAGAAAGTGGCGAGATTAATTTCTGTCAGGATCTCAAGGAAATTAGGCACAGCTCGTATGAATCTTGACACTCTGCCTTCGGGATCGAGTGGTAGGTTTCTCGAGAAACGGGAAATGAGATACGAAGGCAACGTCGGAAGGAGAAGCATTGCGGCACGAAGCTATACCAACCATTGTGACCATGAAACTCGGTGACGGAAAAGAGAGCATACCTTCAAGTTCGGAAGTCGTCGATTCTTCGTGCTGATAGGTCTTATGTCGACATATTCTTCTCCGAGGGACTGTAGCCCTGACAGTATATAGCGCACATGAGGCGACAGCCAACGAGGTGACGCAAGACCAGACAAACCTCTCAAAGTTGTAAGCCCATAATATAAGAGTTTCGTGAACAGTTCGACTTCCTTATCCCATTTGGAAAGCCAACGAGTACCTATATCGCCTCGCTAAGCACTCATCATCGGGCTAGACAGTGATTTGATATGTACCAAATATCGAGCGCAGAACATTCTCAGACTCTTCTCTAAGGAAGAAATTATAGAACAAATCCTTTTGGTAAGCACGGACTGTCGGGAGATCGAAATAAGAGTTCCGTCAGTGAGAGATCCCGGGCCGGTTGGGTGTACGCACTGATTTGAGGCTGCGAAGCTCGGGGCAATGGTGGTAACCCAGACATCCTCGATAATCAGTCACAAGCTGAGAAAGAAGACACTTGTATGACGTTTGCTTGCACGATGCTATTGCACCGAGCCAGCTAAGATTATTAGAGAGCTTTCAAGAAGTTTGTGAATTGAGGCGCTTACAGAGCTTTCCCACGATGGGTGCTTACGAATTCAAAGCCTCGCAAATTGAAGGATCAGATGCGCCCACCTGGCAATTTATGGCAGAAGTCCCAATATCGCAATCTAGACATGAGTCTTAGGAAGTGGCTTGCAGAGTCACTCGACGCCGCTCGGAGGCATGGACATATTGATACTCAGGATGTAAACGCATATGACAAGAGGGCATGGGAATGCAAAAAAAAGAGTAATGCAGGACCGATTAGGTGAAGAATAATCGGTAGGGAAGAAAGATGGGATAAGAGATAGCGAGGACATCCTAAATAACACAACCAAGCCAATGACACGTTTACTCGGGCTTGAGAGTATCTGCCCCCCGTGGTTCCCTGGTTGCATAACCACCTCGTCTCCCCGCCTTGGCTTGGCGGCGTTCGCGATTCGCCTGAAAGCCAAAGGAAAATGAGGATTAAAGACTGCGAGGCTGACCCAAATAGGGGGGGAAACGGTGCTAACCTTTATCCGAAGACGGCGAGCTTCGAGCTGGTCACTGATAGCCTTGGTTCGCAACCTCTCGGCTCTCGTCTTGTGGATGTACTCTACCAGCACACGCTTGTTCTTGAAGGTATTACCCTTCGCCTTCAAATAGAGTGAATGATATCTAACAAGATACGAGTGATCAGCCTGCACGATCAACTCAATGCGCACTTTCTGTACGAAGGAGGGGGTATGATTAAGTGATTAAGAAATACGCACAGCGACTTATCAATCTTGTTAGTTTCACGATACTTTCTGAGCAGTCTTCGCATGATACGCTGACGTCTCATCCACACAAGCTTCGTCGGAAGACGGGCCTCGGCAGTACCTTTCCGCTTACCAAGACCAGTGTGGCGACCTTTGCGTTTGGCGGCATGCCTTACGTGCACACGCGCGCGGGAATGGATTGTGACTGGTTTTGTAATTATGTGTCCGTCCTTGATCAGCTTTCTGATGGCCTGACGAGAGTTCGCATTCCCAATTTCAGCCTGCTCAGCGGGATCAAGCCAGATTTTACGCTTGCCAACACCAGCGACTGATCAACAAGGTTCCAAAACATCGTCAGGTGAAGGTTTTTTTGGGGGGAATCGTTGAGAGCACAAATAGGCAATACTGACCGGAGGCTGCGAGCCTTTTTTGAAGACGGAGATTCATGGCGGCTCTATGTGATTAAGTGAGCTGCAGGAATCATGACTAGCGCGGCTGAAGCACCTACATTTTGAGGATGCTGGTGGGCAGGTCGGAAAGTAGCGAAATGGTGCTGTAACAGTTGTTCCTCTGGCTGATTACTCAATTTGCTTCCGAGCTAACTCATTGATGTGTATGATCTTCGCCGAGCCTATGATCATAGGACCTTGTAGAGACGCTCTCGACGTACTGCTCCAGCTCCTGAACAAGGTGAATGATGCGATACGAATTTGATTCTGGGAGGATTGCCGATGCTCGCATCTCCATTTGCATTCCTGTTCCGCCTCTCTATCTGCCAACGCCCTTGCGTTGCACCTTGCAAGCCCCACGCCTAGCTAAAATATGGACGCTGGTTCTTCCAGAGTCAACAACATACGAGCTGTGAACACTTTAATGCCTCAGGAAGTTAAGGTTCTGTCTCCCTGTTCGACAAGGTCGTCCATTGTACACTTGCCACTACATCAGAGCTCTACTGTGTCTCTGAAAGACTGGATGAGTCTGATCCCTAGCCTAGCATTTCACCACCAGATTCCAATGTCAAGCTCGGCCTCGGAATCTCCTTGCAACAGAAGAACTGTGTGACATCCACTCATCGTTGACTCTCCGTAACGAACGACTCTATCGGCGACGTACGGTTCCGTTGGCCTGCCTCCGCTTCTAGTCACGGTTCTGGCCTGGGCACACGAAGCTAAACACATGTATAGGTCACACCTGGAAGTTTCGCCTTCCATCGGAAGCCTCTGCGGATGCGATCGAGTCCGCAATGTTTTCAAGCCGAATTTCCTCATGCGTCGCATTTTGTTGGATACTGTAACTTAGGCCACATGACGATGGAAGCGTGCATCTTTCAGGGCTACAACAGTAATCAAATTATCTGAAGCACGTCGTTGACTCGGACGTTTGCGAGTACGGGACTTAGGTAGATCAGGCAAACTGTTCAGAACTCCAGTCATATTCATGCCCCACACTGGCTAGACAAGCAATCGACATTGAGCTCACGTCTGGGTCAAACTAATGATCTCGATTTACTTGTGCCCTTGCTCTTTCTCTGCCCGCGCCGCGGCCTTGATTCCCCAATTAGATCCTACAATATACTATACACTTGTTTTCCCAAGAATCTCCAGCGAATTCTTATGCCTACCGTAACATACACTTACGAATGAAACAAATGCTGGGCGATCACGCACACCTCAACAACACACTACGAGCAAAGCAACTCTGCTTAATTCAATCAAACCGAGGCTGACGCTTTAGAAGTTTCTTCCCTTGGGCTTTGGAGAGCTGAACGTCGCTCCCTACGGGTAGCCGGCGGAGGCCAGAATTGGAAGCGCATGAAGTGCAAGTGGTGAATAACGTAGCGGAATTCGAACGGAAGGTAAAACAAGCTCATGCAAAACAGCCCGCACTGGTCAAAAAAAGGGGAACGCAATGTCAGTGGGGCGTATCAAGGCAATGGAGAACCGTTGCTTACGCCTGCGGAGACTGTTGTGACGATAGCTACTGGAGTTTCTTGACGGATCCAGGCATATGTGAGAATACCGGCAACAAAAATCAAAAATCCACTAAGATAAATGGCAGGAAGGCTGCTGAATGAGGATTCGCGTCGATGGGGTTCCAACTCACGCGTTGGTAAGGTGTATGCACGTATTCAGGGCAAATGGTATGGTTCTCTCAAAGATTGTTTCGCGGAAACGCAGGGGAGCTAGGTCTTCCCTCACTTGGCCTTGGTCGTAAGATCGTCGATGGGCAAGAAGCTGAACCGAGTCCTTCGGAACGATGCTGTCAAAGGACAGGGTGAGATGAGTTCCGTGACAGATGAAGTCAATTACACACCTGTACCATCTCATGGAAAGAGTTGCTATTTAAAAGTCCAAACGTATGAGCGCTCTGGTTCATGTGGAAGAATGAGGACACGAATGTACCAGTTATCGCTCCAGACATCGATAGCATAGTAGCGACAAGCATAAGAGAGTTGATCGCCTGGTATGAGGCACTCGTTCCATCGCCATCGGTTAGCGTGAAGGTCAAAACCTGTGCTTCAACAACAGAAAGGATTATTGCTATCAACGCCAATGACTGGTAACCTACCATTGAGAGGTCAATGTGATGTGGTATTTTGGAATGGCAAAAAGCAATTCACTTACCTTTCTGCAACGTTCTCCTTATGCCTTCCGCCTCTCCGTCGGATATCGCTCCTTCGTGAGCATCCATAGAGACGTATGTGGTTGGAGTCTGAGGAAATGGAACCCTGATCTTAGCGGGCGCGGAGGTGGGCATTTTGGGATGTCGGAGTATCAAGCAGGAACAAGGATGCAGGAATCTTCTTGGTATGGTTCAGGGGGGACGCTGATAGACCTCACACTCAGGATGCTCTATAAAAGCAAGGCAAACTTAGAGGTTCTGTGCGCCAGCAGCATGGCAGGCCAACACGTTGTCGGTAGATACAGGCTAACATCATTAGCTCCTTGAGGATCACTGAGAGACCCGCGCGGCGGCATCGTTTCTGTTGCACTAGTGAAAGAATACATTGCAGAGGAAGCTTGCTTTGGTAACCCCCACAATTGGTGGGCAGAAACGTGGAACCAATGTTGTAAGGCTGTGCTGGTACATTCCCACTTTGAAGTTCCTCTGCTCTCGTGCATGGGCGCTTAATCACATGAGCGCTCTGAAACGCATGTTGCTAATTGTGCCTTGACATTTTGGCTCGCAAGCAGGTCTACAACTACAAAATCCAGTAACCTTTCTACACCCAACCCCTAGTAGAACACTCTTGCGTCCAACTCCAAAAGAAATCGTGATTTGTACATGTCCTAAATGTCCTTTGCAATAATTGAGATCCTCCAAGCTCTTATGTGATAGTCGTAACCGTCATGCGATTTAGTGGATGGATATGCTGCAAAATCTTACGAATGATGCTAACACTCTAATCCGTTGGAGAATGAGCATGCCCTCTGGAAGAACTATCTTCCATCTTAAGCTCGGGGACCTCATGTTGTTGTTGATTGATGGGGCTGGAATTCCGCCGTCTCTGTCTTGCCCATCTCTCCCTTCTCCACCGATGGACGAGCCCGGGAATGATCCGGAATCGGCGAAAACGAAGGAGATGGACGACTCTGCGGAAGTCGAAGTGAACGTAAAATAGGAGCATCCAGAATGTTCCCCACTAATAAGTCAGAGGAGGTGAGAACAGTTGGGGAAGAACTGGTTAGAGAGTCAACATACTGCTATTCCAATTGTTACTATAATTGCGACCGCTTTCCCCTGCCTCAACCAACAGTAAACCAGAATACCCAGCATGAAGCAACTAAAACCGCTACAGAAAGCAAATAGTTTGTAAAAGATGAGCGAGAGGATCATTGATGGCTCACGTGTTTGTCAGATGAATGCTGGAGCTCAGCGCCCAGGCGAGCCACCTCTCGGAAAATGTTATTTCCTCAGGGTCCGTCAGTGCTTCGAGATCCTCCTCCCTCCGATTTTGATCATGCAACCACCTTTTGGCGAGGTCTTGCGCGGCTTGTTGGGAAAGTAGACTAATAGCAACGTTCCAACGTACTCATCGCACTCAACGCACGAATGCCTACCTGTACCACCTTGCAGACAGCGCCGCTATAAATCAAGATTATTACTTGGCACAAGGAGTGAAAAACATAGGGGAACTCGCCAGTAACAGCCCCGAACATGGAAAAGATGATAGAAAGAAGGAAGAGGGAGTTGAAAGCCTGAAACGGACGTGTGCCTCGACCATCGGTCTCAAGAGTGGCTGCAAGAATCTGCGCCTCGACGGCGGATATGAATGTCGCTATCAGCGCCAAAGTCGAGTAACCTATATCAACAAGGACACCCGAAAGTGATTTCAAGTAAGTTGTAAAACGCCCCCACAGGAAGTTCCAACTGTTTGACCTTCTTGAACAGTCTGCCTCACGGATTTCGGATCGTCTTCCTGAAGCTGTTGGGTTTCGGAACGCCGCACGCTGGATCGGGGTGATGGCGACCGTCTATACATGAGCGAAGGTGGTCGTGCAGTCGTTTCTGCCGGTGCACGCATCATCGAAAGTTTTGGGCGCTTAGTGATTCACCAGAGGAGAGCTTGAGTCGAGTCTTACCATTGCCAGGGATGACTAGGTTGGACATTGACATCGTTGAAGATGGCGTGGAAGAGAGGGGGGGATGACGGTACCAACTGCAAGCCCAAGCACCTGTGATTATTATTATGAAGCGGATTGATTACACCAAAAAAGGTAATCCTCAATGGCCGCCGAACCACAGCCCGTCAATGCTATGCACCTGCATAAGAAATCACTTGAAAAATGCTGAGGGTAGCCGACAATTCGCTGAATTTGAGATGCAATGTTCTGGTAGGGAAATATGTGAAATCAGCGCCATTCAACATTGGCGCACCCTTCCCCACGAGGTCGATTTGCTCGCCGAAGTTTCTACACTACCGGGCGAGGAACAAGTCTCGTCAAACACAGCTACAAATACAATAACAGTACAAGTGTAATAAATAGAACGAGCTGGGAAGGATTAGTGTTTTTTTTTAAAAAAAACGAAGGGGCGACGAGTGCTTTCAATTAGATCCCGACCAACCAATAGAGCCGGCAACGACAGCAAATGCCAAGCAGATGAAAGCAAGAAATAATAAAGCGTTCGATAGTTGGATGGTTCAGGACGAGGAACGAAGCCATGCAAATAGGTTCCACCTGCTTTTTCCGGTTGATGAGGGAGAAATTCGATTTCCTGTCACTCCGCTTTGGTCGCTCCCCACTGTGGACCATCTCTTAGACCTAATTGGCTCGCTTGGTGCAGGCTGAGAGTTGATGCTATGGATAGAGGTGGAGGGAGAGCCTAAAGAAGAGGTGAAAAGTCGAGGGCGGAAAGAGTCGAGTACGGTGCCCGTCAGCGGGAGATCATGCTGCTCATTTGCGAGGGTCCGCAGACGAGCATCTCGTATAAGGGACAAGATCAGAGATATACCAGCTCGAGACTGAAATGATTCGTAAGATTCACTGTCTCCACGAGTGCACACACACTTACGCGTTCTAAGTTGCGTTCAAATTTGTCGTGCCCATAGCGCTCAATCCGCTTGGCAAGGCCCCAGCCAAAGTTAGAAACCACCCTGGCTTCGGTTTTGTGCACGGTCGACCTATAGAGGAAAGAATGGTCTACATCGAGACCCAAGTTGCAACAGCCCTACTCACCCATTGGTGGCTTCTCTAAGCTCGACGTCCTCCTTCACGTTTAATATTTTGACATGATCGAGGTTCCTTGTTGTGCAGCGGACAACTTTTCCCCACGGATCCACTTCGCTGTCTTCCACAATCCAGCTCTCGGCCCGCGAGACTATTCCCCTGGGCAACCACTTAGGTACAGCACCCCGTTTAAGCATTAGGCGCTTAGTAACTAGAGTGCCCTCAGACGTATGTGTACGTGAGAGAACATCGCATGAAAGGACATGCGCAGCGTGAGGGTTGGGATAACGGAGGAAGAAAGCGAGAGTGACGGTTGACCATGACTCCTCATAAATGTGCGACTTCGCAAAGAACTTGACCATTGTTGCAGTATAAGATTGCTTCACGTCTGAGGGGGGATTGTCGAGTTTCGGGGGCGTGGCAAACTAAAAGTGAGAAACGATGAGATGTGCGGAGGCAGCGGCAACTTCAACACAATTTCTGGTCCCGTGATATAAACGCTTGTTTTCAGAGCACAGCCACTCAGTCAAACCATTGACCAATGTCAAGCGCGAGAGACCACGATGCCTCGATCTACCTAGCCGTGTATGTTTCCAGGTCGTCAGACATCAAGCGGGACCCTTCGTCTCTATCTTGCGCTCATCCATCGGTCACGTTCGTCAGCCAGGTCGGAGCTCTCGAAGATGTCCAGCTCGTCAGCGTGCCCAAGCCGGATTGGGAAGGAAATCGGAACGAGATCCTAGGACAATTGCAAACATTTCCCGGAGTAGTTCGAGTAGAAGTGCAAGAAGCAAAACAAAGAGCAAAGCGATCAAATGACGAACTTTAAAAGTAGTATGACAGCAATTACAATCTCATGCAGACACACAACCCAATAGTAACATAATCCTAATCGTCCAGATCATCAAATCCATGAAACATGCCCGGGTCTGCATCTTTGTCGTCCACTTCCATCGTTATTTCTTCCGGATACGTAAAGTCGGGCGTGCCCTTCAGCAGCTCTGTTTCTTCATCCCCCTCCAGTATCTCGAGGGTCTTGCAGAACGACTCATAGAACTTCTCTTAAGGTTTTTGTCGTCGAGTCCGACATAATCTTCTAGCCATCATCTACGGCTGCCTTTCCGTTGATGAGTGTACTCTGTAACATACTCTTCTCTGTCTCGCTCAACCCTGTTCGACTGTTGTTCTTCTGTGTGCCCGGCTCGTATTCCAGTGGTTTCTTTTTATCAATGTCCCAGTATTGAGAAGAAAGGATTGCTACCCATCCCTCATCAAATAGGCAAAAACAATCCACGAGTTTCAGAAGTTCCTCGTGTTGCTCGTCGGAGGGAGATCGAGCGACATCGGGCGAATGATGGTACATCGTGGACCGGTCAAAAATATCGATTGTGAGGCGCAGAAAGAACTGAAAGCGGATAGAAGTTGAGGACGGTGTCGGTGGTATTTGAAGAATTACCGAGTGGACAGGCATTATCATGTCAACATAGGCAGAAAGAGTGGTGAGCCTTGCGCCTGGTTTCTGCCTAGTGGAAGCGTCCTTATGAGATGTATACACCGCTGCTGAGACGATAATTGTGAACAAATGCTTGCCGCTTGATCCACTCGGCGTCTAAATGTATAAACTGTTCCTCCACCCAATTGCGAACCCGTCCTTCCTGAACAGCAGTTAGCTTCTTGTACAGCTGGTTCCGCCGCCCCTGTGCATTGGCGGTAGTCGGTAGTTGGTTCCGTGTGGACTGGGATCCTGGATCGGCTCCTGCAGGCATTCCTGTTGTGGCAGCCTCCGAGCAAACTGAATTGCGATGATTACCAATTCTCTGCACTCACCAATTGTAATCCGCTCCTCACCCTGAATGCAGCGGAGTTGGCTGAATAGATTACATGTTGTACCTATCTGATCAAATCGGCTCGACCCCATTGTCTAGTCAACTTCTTAACCATTCGCAAGCAGTGCAAATCGAACCCACTTCACAAATGTATCCTGCGCCGAGCATAACATATCTTCCTGACGAATTACTTCTGCGCATCCTGCGGTATATTGACAATTCCAGGCAACTACAGTACGTTGCTTCCACATCGCGTAGGGTACGCAGAGCGGCGTTGGACAATTCTCTCTGGAAGCAATTTTGCCATGACATCATATCGAAATGTCCTCTCTCAGACGATGAAAAGGAAATATCCTTATCCACCTGGAAGAGCGACAGCTTTTACGCCCTTTGGGTAGACTTCCTCCGGCGGTGGTTACCCTTAATTGGGTTTTGGGTTGTTGCGGGAGAGTCTGATTCTCGGGAGATAATCTGCATCACAGCTGCTAATCGGAAAGGAGCCATCCTAGTGGCTCGAGTGACAATATTTCAATGGCCTGGAAGGCGCTGTTTTGAGTTCCTGGGCGCGCATACGCCCTCCACCCACTTTACCGGCCACTTTGCACCAGGGCCGAGATATGATGTTCACGCATTTCGCTTTTATTTTCACCAGCCCGCAGCAGCCGATCCGGCTCAGTATGGGCCACTTCCATTCACCGTCGCCACGAAATGCATCACATGGAACGATCCTGATTCTTTCCCCTCGGAATCGCTTGAGTTGTCAAACGGCCGCCCAATTACACCCTCGCCCGCAATGGCGCATGCGATCTGTGCGCACGTGAATGACCAGAGACGGTTGATATATCCAAGCCTGTCCACTAATCCGAACTCACTCAACTCGATTGAATTTGGCCGAGGTATATCCTTCATCCCTGTGCATGCTCCTCGGCCAGCGGATCATTCGCGGGAATCCCTCGGAACGATTGATGATTTCCTCTCGAAAATAATCAATAGTGGTCTCTACGCTGGTTTATATGGAAATATGACACAAGGGCTCGAACTCACCTACATCACTATCCGTCGTCTCATCGCCGATGACTTTTCTCCCCATGTTCATGACGGCCTGATTCCACAGTTGGATCCAGATATCGTTCCTGATAACCCATCTATTCCTACTGGTGTTTTCAGGGTCGGACACCGGATTATTGAAGGGGTGAAGGTATATGGTGATGAGTTTGTTTCAAAGGGGCGGAGGTCCTTCATTGGATTTCTTGACATCGACAGGTCATTGACCGATAGTGACGCCCTGCTGTTGTCAAGTGATGCTAGAGCAGCATTGGCAAAGTTTGACAATGTGGTGGAGAAACACGCACGCGGTGAAAGCCAGACCGATGAAGCCGCTACAGAATTACACACTCTCATATCATCATATGGTCCGCCAGAGACCTCGACTCGGCACGGAGGATACCCATGGCCCATTTATATCCCAGTCGGGGCGCGCCCTGGCTTCCATGATCACTCGTTTGATGGTATTGTGTCCAACAGTTCCTCCACTTCGAAAAGGATGATGTCTGACGCAGAAATAATGTCCCCTGGAGAGGGCTGGACGTGCAGGGTGTGGTCCGCGGTGGCGGCGCGGGCGGTCTGTTCTGGGACGAAGCCTTCATTCACCTCAGCACCAGGGATGAGATTTTCGTGCATGGTCCGGCATTCTTGGACGTGATGGTATTTAGGCGTTTAACTCCCCCATGCTCTCGCCTGTTTGATCTGTAGCGTGTCCTGAGAGTGGGAAACTACCGTGTGATTGGACATTGAAAGGGTGCTCGGATTGTTTTGTTAGTTTATTTAATTCCGGGCGTCTACGGGAATGCAAGGCTAAATCAAACGAACACGCCGTTCGCTCCATGAAGGGGATTTTCAGTTCCAGCAAGTACCAGTTTCTGCCCAGCCTAATGAGTGGGCGGCAGGGGATCCTGCTTCGCGTATAACCCATATGTATGGAGTTGTGGTTCTACCTTTTGCCAGTGTGCGGTATTGATATTGTTTCAGTGGTAAGCCCTGGTTGGTGGTGGTTGGCGACGGTTGGCTCGATATGACTGGGTTTCTGGATCGGCTCCTGCCACAGGCTCATGCTCATACTCCATTGCTGTTGTGGCGGCCTCTGGGCCTTCATCGCAAACTGAATTGCGATGGAAAGATGGTTTCACTGTCCAAGTCTCTACAAACGGCACTACGGAAAAGGTCGGTTTTGGGCGCATAGGAGGATTTGGATAAACGTAGTTCAGGCGCGGAGATGCGACTGAGGGCCAGTGGCAACGGCCCCGGTGAACCAACGAAGTTACTCACATTCTTCGCTACAACGCTCTCTCCGCCAGCTCGGCAATTTATCTCCCCAGCGCAGGGTTGCTGTCGTTGGTCCTGGTGGGTCCGATGGGTTAATGGCTTTCTGCAGCAGAGGTCTCCACCTAGGGTGGACGCCTGTGTATATTTCTGGTGCCCCACTAGAGAATGCTTCTCTTAAGGTTGCCTCTGGTGTGTGGCCTGATAGGAATAGGAATACTCGTCTGGCTGATGATGACGGCAACCACTGCTTCTTGGGGTGCATAGGTCGTCCCAAGAAGCGAAATGGCGCCTACCTCCGTCCGGAGAAACCTTCCTCGCATGTTCGCTGTTTCCAGTACTGTCCCCCCAGAGGAAACAGCACTCATGATCTGAGCGAACCGAACGGGGGGCTATTTCCTTACCCCCAATGATTGATTCTTCTTCATGACGATGACACAGGGATGATTCGTTCTTTGGATTTCGGCGGGCCAGACAATGGAAGTGGAATGTTCAGCGGGCACAATAGTTGAGACGGAAGAAGACCCTCAAGCACGCATTTGGGATGCGTGCGTGTAGCATAAGCCATTAGTAATCACATGAGCACCAGCGAGTCACTGTGGCTTCGGGTTCCTGGATCCCAAGTGTTGCAACTGGCATTTGACTTAGAGAAAGTAGAGTTCGCAGGGCCCCTACGAGAATGATGGGCCAAACGAGGACGGTGCAAGGGTAGGATCTGCCATGTGTCCACATTAGATGATGATTAAGTGTGCAGAGCGGCGCAGAACACGCCGTGCCAGTGTTGTCTTCCGCTGGTATGGCGAGACGACAGCCAAGCGGGCACACAATGTCAAAATGTGGTTAAGTGCTGCAGTAGCGCGCTTAATTCTTCATTCAACCTAGAGTGTTGTTGATTTAATCATCGAAGCCAAGATCCGGGTGGCGCAATTAACGGTCAATCTATTCCGGGGTTATGATCAACCTTGATTATCTACTTTTACTGCACTTGTCATTCCGGGGGGGGGATGCCAGCGATGCGCAGATATGTAGAGCTTCAGTTGACATATGCGGTACCTCACCCCATATTCGTTAGCACTTACGGAGCTTAAATAACAATTGCACTCATCTCCATTCCGAAACGACGAGGATGGTCTGTCCATGACGTTTCCCGTGAATTATGGTTTGACATGCTTCCAGTGACACTGTCTCAACACTCATTATCTTGATTATATAGCCAGCCGTGCATGCACATCGTACTATATATAAAGGCATACAGGTATATTCCTTTGATCGACGCTGCATTACCGAGCCTCATCCCAGTCCTCCGGGTGGCCATACTACGCTACCGGGTCACACGTACCCATATCGCAACGGCGTGGAAGAGATTGAGCGGGGATGACGATAAGATGTGCCAGTATAAAGCATAGGCGACGCAACCGATAAAAATTCAACAATTACTGTTACCACATCAGCGGCGAGAGAGAGAGTGTGTGTGTGCCATTAGCAAGTGCAAGCTAACAACGCTGCTTTGAACATTTCTTTGAAAAGTTCTGTGATCTTGTTCCATCTGGCTTATTCCCCCTTGCCTCGCCAGTTGTGGTGTTTTGTCTTCCTTTACTCCGCGGGGCAGAGACTCGTTACCACCAACAATAATGTTATGTACGTTGCCAAACCTAACGTTACAGAAATAGTACACGATACATACTTCAAAGACTGTCCACAGTTCCAAACAACATTGCAGCGCAAAAGACATTGAGTGTCTGACCATGACTTGTGGAAATGGCTTCGATCAACGGCGTAAAAGTCCAAGCTAGATGGAGTGGACCGAGTTCAAAGTGGACATGGCGCACTCACATAGAGATCTTTCTCGCCAACTGTGTAGTGATGCATCCATGTAATTCCGAACCATCACTCAGCAATGCCTCAACTGGGCCTTAAATCCAGCAATGCTGACAGCCATTGAACTAGGTGCTGGGTGGGTAAGTCAAGCGCTTAGGATCCGATAGCACTTCTACAGACAACGAGGAGTCCAGTTTAACGCGTGACGCCTCTGCAATGACCGTCTCTAGAAACTCTACGGATGAAACTTAAACATGGGCACTCTGGGGGCTCCACGAGTATCACACGCACAGTAGGTAGGCAGGATGGTACCGAAGGCTTTCAGAATGATCCAGGCCATTGAATGGCTGGGAGAGCTGGTGCATTTGTAGGTGTCAGGCTATTTATGTTGCCATACATAGCGAGTTTGGGAGCATGTTGGCGCAATCATGTCCAAAACTATAGCCTCCGGAACAAAGCGAGTTGGAGAACGAAGAGAAAGCGTATGCAAAGGATTGTCTGAGCTCGCTGTAGAAGTAGGAAGACGCCATTGAGTAGCAATAATCACAGCGGTTTCGAGGGAGTCCTGCCTTCTACATCACAGTTTCTAGTGTTGGAAACTGCAACAGTGTAGCGGACAAATATGCTGGCACCAAAGCTAGCCAGGGCACCCAAGTAGATGCGGAGTTGCGCTCTCTCATGACATCATGTGGACCGCTAGAGATCACGAAGAGCACCCATGCATGTCAAGTGCGTCTGGCAGTGTGCATGATTCTGTCTCAATGGCACCCCGGGTATCGCAGTCAAAAAATCCTCTATTGTGAAAGGATGTCCGCTATAGTGTGCTCACTGAAGGGGATTGAATAGTACAAGGTGTGGTAGAGGATGGTTCGCCGTCGTCTATCATTCACCTTGGCTCCAGAGCTGGAATATCTAGGCACCATGGGATTCGCGAATGCGACGGTATTTAAGCGTTTAAGCCACACACGCTCACGCCTATTTGTCCGCAGTTAAAGATAATCTTCTTAACGTTGGATTAGAGTCAACGAGTTGCGGCGAGGAATTCCCGCGTGTCATGCATCTGTCGGTCCATGCCGCACCACAATTGAATTACGCTTGCCTTTCTCCCTTGAGCAAACAATTGCAGCTCTAGTGCACCTTGCGTGGGCACGCATGCGCTTGTTATCGCGCTCGTTCTGTTTCATATGTCTGGGGTTTTCAGCGCTACTTTTTCAGTCTGGACCTGCCGCCGCTCTTTGGCCTTTTCCACCAAAGCGATTCAAGGGCAATGCACTACTTAGCGCTGGGAGTTTAGGACTCGATAAATTAGACGGTCGAATAGTGGCTTTTGGAGACTTTGATGGGAACCAATTGTGCGTGGAAATCTGGCGCCAGCGTCTGGCATTGAGCAGTGCATCTGATGCATGTTTAGTCTCGATGTGATGTCACTGAGTGAGGACCAACAAACCATTCGCGTGCATCTTTGGGATCATGGTAGTGTCTAAACTTCGCACTACTTCTGCTCGCAGCGCTTACCCCTTACGCAGATGCATTCGAATTTCGCCCTTCGAACCAGCTATCTCTTGGTCGCAGGATTGTTAACGTGATTCCTGCCGATTACAATAGGGATGGGAGGCTCGACATACTAGTCATGTGCGAATCACGAACACCAGAAGTGCTAGATTTATTCCTGTACCTTGGCGTCGAAGGGGGTTTTGGTGTGTGCTTGCACCGTTGCTTTCCTCTCCGAGTTTAAGGCTGAGCAGATCCGGTTCACAAGACAGCAACGTCATCACGCCACCCCAGTCGACTGATGCTCAGCCTTTACTTATTGATGCATTTGGGGAGATGAAGGTAGATTTACTGGGCGTTGCACCATCGCTTGTTGGTCACTCCGGCTTAACACTATGGAACAACACTCGTTCCGGTGGAGATGTTGGCCCCGAGTTCTTCCATCTGTTAGTTGAGGGAATTGTCCCGCCAAGCACGCGGCTAATCGGCAACTTGTCACAGCGTCGATGCACCTCTTCAGGGAACAGCGTGTATCATTTCCTCGCCGCACAGCAATGCTATTGTAGACTTTGATGGCGATTGTCTCGGAGGCACGTTGTAAGACCGGGTGTAGATTTGTGGAATTCACATCTTTTCGTTACAGACGTCTTCCTTACATGCGGGTCTCACTCTCACAAGTCATTCCAAATATGGACCAATATCAAGGGCCGAGGTTTCACGCTTTCTCGGTCGGGTTCTTTTCCGGAAAATACTGGTGCCATTTCTTTTGCTGATATGAGTATGTTTCACGCCAACGTTTCGACCCTTGCTCATCGATGTCCAACAGATCGAGATGGGACAATCGATATGATTTTTCCCACCTGCTTATCAGTTTCTATGTCCACCGGGATAGGTACTGGTTGTAAGATCAACATTGTGTACAACCAGCAGAAACCACTCTGTGCCTCAACTAGCGGGGCGTCTGGTCTTGGACAGACGAACTACTGCAGGCGTCCTGATAACCTGTGCAGCTCTGATCCTGACTTTCAGTTCGACTTCAATCAAGTGCTTCCCTTTCACCTCAAGCGAGTAACGTTTCCTGATCTGCTTTTTTCTTTTATTCACCAGGGCATTGTCTCGTACGATCTTGCGGAACTGACCCCTGATCAATCCGATTCTCTGTTGCTGTACGATATTACCACTAGCCCGCCCATACCGATCCCAATACGTATAGGAGATTTGGACCTTGACGGCTTTCCAGATCTTGTCCCCATTGTTGTGCAGAAGCGTGACCGTTCTTGGACTACTCCTATCCTACTATTCTCCGTTTCTTGCAGGAGAGGATTAGCAGGCTGCAGTGGAAACAAACTGTCCTCCGGAAGGAGCTATAAAGTAATGACGAAGAATACCCAAGAGCTCTATGACATCAAGGATGCTCGCGGAGTAGCATTGTTGGATTTGGATGAGGATGTGAGTCAGTTCGTAGCTTAGGTTGAACGGAAGTGGCCGACTTTTCGTTCTCACTAAGGGCACACTTGACCTCATGGTTCAGCGCACGGGGAAGCAGATGGGGACGAAGGTGACGTTCATCCAGAACAATTTCTTCCATGATGCATTTTTCTTGAAAGCGATTGGTAAGCTGTTCATGCTGCTATGGGATCATCGTTATACTTTGGATGTTCTCTTCAGTTTTGAATGGCGCTTGTGTTGGATGGTGCATCCCGGAACATTCTAATGAGACGAAGTACCATGTAAGTTTGTGCACTCCTGCAACACATCCTTCTTCCAAAACCTTCTCCCCAGCCATTTGGTGTTGCGTACTCTGGGCCATCGTACAAGTACACTGTTATAGATCCAAACGGTTACCGGTCTGCAGCTCAAGGTACGATCTCAATATTGACACTCGTTCCATCAATCCTCATTGTTTGGTAGTTGGACAACTCCCGCAAACGTCGTATCATGCTCTCCAGACCCCATATGCGTTTTTCGGCCTTGGTCGTACCAATAATTACATCGAAAACCTCTTTGTCGGCTCAACAAAGACGCAAACCTACCATTACATCAACATGGAGGGTGTCATACCGAACTCCAAGGTCGTCATCAGCCCTCCAATAGGGAATCGACAGCCTTCCGACTGGAAAAAAGAGCTGTACTTACGGCCGGGCGAGTGGATTCCTGTAGTCTCACTAACTGTCGTTATTGCAACCCTAGTTCTAGCTATTATCTGGTTTATATTACACCTTAATGAAAAGGTATTCTCGATCATGCTGGTGATAGTGATAGGAAGTTCTGACTATGTTTGCTTTCAATAGAGAGAAGATGAACTTGAAAGGAGGAGGAAGCTTCACCATATTAACTTCGATGCTTTATAATTATTTTGATAGGACTACACCTGTACATATTTTGCGTATGTAGTCATGAGGATTGGCAGGAGGTTGTGTGACAGTGACACCAGAGGTTCTCCGCGTTCCTGGGGTGTTCTCCATGAACTACAACTCCATCAGTGACCTGTGGGCTGTCACTATTGGCTGAGGACCGTAATGCAAAATGTATCACAACTTCAGAGATGGAGCAAAGCTATTCCTCTTCGCTCTCTCGGCGACGTGCGACACCGGGGCCTCCGCACCCCACAAGCGCCGTCACCGGAATGGACCCAGCTTCTTGAGCAATTTGCAGAGTTGAACCCTCATCCTATCCACTTGCCCACGCTATTGTCGTATGGATCCCCTGTTACTTCTTCTTCTGTGCTTATATCTGCTGGGTACACTCAGGCTGAGATCGCCTGTCGCTTAGCCCGCATATCGCATAAATTCGACAAGCTTCCGTTCATATGCGGAGTGAATCCCCACATTTCAAAAGTACATATGCTGTATCGAAATTCCTTTGAGGATCTCGCCAGTGTGCCAAGTGTCAAGAACGAGGACGAGAACATTGATTTCTCGGTGCAACTTCAAAGACATATCAACCTTCATGCCCACGATATTCCAACCTTGTCCAAAGGGTGAGTTTGGCCTGAGTTTGGCCTCCGGCACGAGTTGTTTATACGGGGTTACGGCTACTGGACGCCAGTTTTGCTGAATGTGCAAAATACATGCCGACTGAGGCCATAACCGAGTTCTTGGATGACCTCATAACAAGTCGTATCGGAGTCCGTCTTATTGCAGAGCAGCACGTATCTTTGACAGAGACTCTTGCTTCGGCTGAGGCCAAACGAGAGAATAGCTCCAAGGTCGGAGTGGTCGATCTGGAATGCTCGCCGAAGCGAATGATACAGATGTGCGCGTCGTTTGTGAATAGTCTTAGTGATGCGACGTTTGGAGCATCACCTCCTCTTGTGATTGATGGTATCGTCGATGCAAAGTTTGCGTATGTACACGGATCCCTTTTATGCCCCGTTTCCCCTTTGTTGAAATCACAACCCCATGCGCAGATACATCCCTGTTCATCTCGAATACATCGTAACGGAAATCTTAAAGAACGCAGTTAGGGCGTCGGTCGAGCAGCACCATGCAATTCGTTCAACTGGCCCGTTACCACCCGTCCAAGCGACCATAGCCCCATCTTCCTCGTTCCTCTCTCTCCGCATTCGGGATCAAGGTGGCGGAATCCACTCGAACAATCTCAATCGCATCTTCTCATACGCCTTCACCACCGCGGGGAGGAATGCAGAAGAAGCTGATCTGGATTGTGATGAAGGGAGCGGAGGTGGTCCGTATGCGGCTCAACAAGTCGGAGGTAGTGCCGCGTTTGCTAGTGGAGGGAATGGTGATGATGGTCCTGCGTTCTTTGGTGAGATGGCAGGAAAGGGGCTACAGACGGGCCTGGGGACTATTGCAGGTTTAGGCTATGGGTGAGTGATATGCAAGGAGTTGCCGGGAGTGGATGATTTGTCACTGAAACTGCAATGCCAGTCTTCCCCTAGCCAAGCTATATGCCAATTACTTTGGAGGTCAGCTTGATTTAAGAACATTACATGGCCATGGGACGGATGTGTTTATCAAGTTACGAAGATTGGGGGAAAACTCGGCTGCTGAGATTTGAGGCATTCTGGACACTTGAACACTCTCGTTTGGCTAACTTGTTCATCGTTTGATTGTACCGTCATCACAAACAATCTGAATTACTTTACATGTGTGAAGATAGGTGGGTGTCATCAGAAGTGTTCTTTGAGTGGAGGTCCTTTACGGGTGGTGAAATTTCATTGATACAAGGCATTAGCTATGCAAACTTCGTTTTTACGCCCGAGGATTGACTAGGGCGATGTAAAGCTGATGGAACTAAATTTGCCTGCAACACCTGTAGTGGCTAGAAGGGATATTTAGGTGCTGATTGTGTGCGACGTGGATTTGTCTTTCCTGAACGCGGCAGCATTTGGACCCAGGCGAGGAAGGATGTCCTTTTCTACAGCCTTGCCACTTTCTTGTCCTCTTTTTTTGGTTTTTTATGCTTCCAACTGCCCAAGAAACCATGCCAGACGCATTCCTGTTCCTTCTGATCGCCCTCACTGGCATCGGCTTGGAATGATCGTGCGGGCAGGATAAGTAAATCGCCTATCCTGGCAGGAACATCAAGATCTGAAATTTGGCGAGGATAGATTCCGTGTCGCGCGACCATATACCGGAGTACCGCGTCTGTGAACACACCAGGTCCCGTCCATTCGAGGACGTCTAGCGAGTCCGAGTCAGCCGTACCTGATTTGATGGCATCGTCGTATTTCCTTACTACATGTGCTATGGCGTCAAGGAAGATTGGATGGGAGGACTTTGCGGCCATGGTCCATTGGACGATCTGAATGCCGCGAGAGAATGTTTTGGCTTTCCATTGGCCATCGCACCTGAAGTTTCGAGGGAAACAATCATTCCTGGGGGTGTGTTATGGACGAATTGCGAGTTAGTCAGATAGTAGGGGAGGGCTCCGAGTACTCTGTCGGACTAGTTGCAGCAGGTTGAATTTAGCTGTTGCCGAGTGTGCCAAATAGATGCTTACAAGGTCAATGGTACGAGATGTTCCCCAGTCTTTGAAGGGACGGGTGGCGGCGGTGTCAATATCGGTGTAGATCCCTCCTTTATGAAGGAGGATAGCGTAGCGTAGGATGTCGGCCTTGAGAACGGGCTTTCGGACGGTGGAAAGGATGGTAGACATGGGGGAGGGTGGAGGGAACATTCCACTAAGATAAGCGTCCATAACGGTATCATTGAGATGTCGGAATGAAAGACTTGAAACATTTGGCATTTAGAAACATAACGCATGGAAAAAACGTGTCATACCAACCTAGGATCGTTTTGAGCCCAATACCGGAATTGGGAAGGATAGTCTGATGGAGGGACATCGGATGTGGTGTATACGCGGTGTGGTATTTGGCCTTCTGGAGACCATGAGGTAGGATTACCTTCGATGTCTAGCCATTTCAGCACGCTCCTGAGAGGTACGGGATCGTTGGCGTCGTCATTCGAGAACAGCCAGCCACCCCCACTTCTAAATAGTGAGCGCCAAGAATTCTGGATATCTTGGACATATGCATCATAATCAGTGCGTCCTAGCCGTATCTCCCACTCGCGCTCGTCCCTTTCGCGGTCACCCGATGTGACATAAGAAGATTGTAGGTGTTTTAGGCGCTTACACGCGACGTTGGTGAGACGCCTTGTGGGGTTAGAATGAGAGCGGAAAAGAAAGAAAAGGACGAAGACACAGAAGAGTCCAGTGAGGAGTGGTGAGCGCTGAAAGCGACGAGAGAGAGGTGATGTTGAGAGCATGTTAAGGGTGCTAAACCATATGTTGCCAATCTTTAGGTTGTGGCTTCGGAATATCCGACGTGCAGCATTGAGAGGGTGAACACCCCGCCCTGCTGCGCCTGGCGATGGCGAACGACAGGAGTCTTCAAGAGATAACCCGCGATAGGCCGCTTCACTCCTGAATGCCAGCTTTGTGACCGATTACGCGACTGCGGTACCAGTTTCTCAGTAGGCACTGCTCAGAAGCCCGTCACTAGGTTGGTCCGGACGAAAGAAGTACCACACCTAAGGTGGCTATGAAATAGTGGATGGTTCGCACGATGAGCTGAAGAGGGTGATGACAGGCGAAACGGGCAACTTGAGTGAATTTGGGATTTATACAGTTTTTCACCCCCAAGGTCCGGAGTTTGTATTTTTGCATGTAGACGACTGCAATTTTGCGTCGAATTACATGTAATTTGGGCGAATAGTAGCCAATAGGAACATCATTTCATACCTCAGCTAGCTAGTTGGTGAACCCAAGATGGAGGAAAGACTCCGAAAGAGGACGCAAATTCAGTGTCCAAAAATGGCAATCACCCCTCATTGGTTACCATGTCCCACAGCCAGTGTTGGGCAGACATGGTCCCAAATGGTCGCATGGTCCGGGTCCGAGGTCTGATTCAGTAGACCCCATGGTCCGAATTGTCCCATCAGTTGTCTGTCGGCTGAAGCCGGGACCTCGCTAGTTCAATGTCGGCAGTGTCGGCAACGAGTTTCGCGGAAATAGCCGCAAATAATCACATGAGGCTCGGGTTATTCCTCGTCTGGTTGGAAACCGGCTACTTCCGTATTTCGGACCTTGAGACAATGGACCCTTGTCGGAAGCACAATCAGACCACAAATGGTCTGATCGTGTCAATGCCAACACTGCCCACAGCACATACGACCAACAACCTGTCACGCGTCATGCGAAGGTCTTGGATTGAATTGAAAATCAACAAAATTGAATTGATTTATGGCTCCGGTAACTCCCGGAGGCCGTGGGAAGAGGTTGTTGGTCGTGCCAGTACAGTAACCTGCGCACGTCTTCCAGAGTCTTGCAGTACAGGAAGTCCCTGCACTTCATTTTGGAACACAGACAGGACCTGAACTTGGCAGGTTGGATGGACACTTTGACGTCGCTACATACTGTACCTACACGACCGGGAGCCGCCTCGGGTTTGAGCGTGACAAGGGAGAGCCTGCCGCAAGCGGCCCTTCAAGGCGTGACACACCTCCAGAGGCATGACACATGAGTCGGCATTTTCCTGCACAACAAAATAAGCAGGCAGCATATATTTCTAAATTTGAACATTCGAAAATTCCCCTCTTGCAAAAATCCGCGAAAAGTGTCAAATGGCGATTTTCGTTTTTAATTCATGAAGTATAATTGCCTTTTTTGGAAATTGAAAAATTGAATTAAAAATGTCACAGCCACCTTGAAACCGTACTCAGAGTCACAGCGTGACGAGGGACCCAGAGCCTCAGACCCAGTGTGACGCGTGACAAAGGACCAATTTGAGCCGTGCCGCAAGGCCAGCGTGACGCGTGACAGGCTCCCGGTCATGTAGGTACAGTAATTGATCACGAGCTTGATATACATATATATATATATTTACAATTTGCCGACTTCCAACGCAGTTCACTCACCCATTTCAGCATTTTGAGCCCCCAGATATTGGGAGATTATAGAAACAGGTAGGCTTTATTTAAGTTCAAATATTCGTACATTAACTAGTCGGATACGCTCGAATTGACCACTGGGGGATGAATATGACAATATGACAATAAATTCGGACAACTCCGCTACAAAGGTCGTAACCAGCTAGACCTCGTTGACCGATCAGATCGAACCCGAAGTAACCACCAAATCAAACAATGAAAAAACAGAGGCACTCGCACACTCAGGACACCAAGAAAGGACTGAAAGTTCAAACAGGCCGAACTGAATTCGGCCAACTCCGCTACAGCACAGCTTAGGCCTGACTTAAAAGTCAACTCGTTGGTCCAAAGAAAAAAACTAAAAGACTAAAGACCAAACCACAACATCTCCGAAACGAAAAATCGTTAGACCGTGGTTGTTCCCGTGATCTCCCACGTATTTCAATTATTTGATGCCGCGTTGATTTGTCTGCACTGCCTTCGTTTGTGATCATCAAGGTCACGTCCCACGTTTTAAGTAGAAAAGTCCAACCGACCCTTCCTTCCACACCTCACATCTTTCTGATCTTTTCGCTGGGCTGAGTTGGACTAACAGAAGACAAGGGCTTCTTATCAATCTTTGGGAATCATGCGCGTCTTCGTTCTTCTGGGTCTTCTTTCCGTAGTCTCTTCATCTTCCGCTGGCACCAGTCGACCAGCGAAACGGACATACGACACTCACGATTACTATGTTATTGAGCATATTTCTTCTGGGAGACACTCTATAGAGGAATGCGCTCGCGCTTTGGGAGTGGATCTTGTGGAACAAGTTGGAGAACTCAAGAATCACTGGCTTGTCCGCACTGAGCGGGAGGTTTCGATATCTAAACGAACAGATAGCGTTCTGCAGCGATACAAGCAGTTGCGGCTAGAATCCAAGCGTACATCTTCGTCAGATAATTTGAACCCTCGTTCTGTGCAGCATGTTGACGGCGTAGCCCACTCTATCCGCTCATTCGAGAAGCAAATTCTTCGGCAGCGCACCAAGAAACGCGCGCCGATAACGATACCTGATCTTCCCCCAACGCGGGTCCCGATCTCAGATGCATTCCCACAAAAGCCCGGCATCGAAGCTGGTAGCGACGACGCACGGCCACTGCCCAACAAGGCTGATGAGATTGCATCAAAACTTGGTATCCGGGATCCCATCTTTCACGATCAGTGGCATCTTGTCAACAATCGATTTCCCTCGTTTGATCTTAATGTTACTGGACTTTGGGCGCAGGGTATCACCGGTAAAGGTGTTTACACCGCCGTAGTTGACGACGGTCTGGATGCGAACAGTGATGATCTTGCTGCTAACTTTGTGAGTATGTTCTTAGTATCTCATTGAAATATTATGCCTAGAAATGAGCTGATAGATTTTTCCGCTTACGTGTCATGACAGAACAAAGAAGGCTCATGGGACTTCAATGACCACACTCGCCTCCCCCTTCCTCGACTCCCAGACGACCAACATGGAACACGGTGTTGTGGAGAAATAGCGGCTGTTAAGAATGATGTATGTGGGGTGGGCGTCGCCTACGAATCAAAGATTGCTGGCTTGCGTATTCTCTCTGGGCCCATCTCCGACGCAGACGAAGCCATTTCACTCAACTATGGATTCAACCAAACAGCAATATATTCCTGTTCATGGGGACCACCCGATGACGGACGCTCTATGGAGGCTCCGAGCTATCTCATAAAGAAGGCAATCTTAACCGGGATTCAGAATGGACGTGGTGGAAAAGGGAGCATATTTGTATTTGCGAGCGGGAATGGTGCAGCTTCAATGGATCAGTGCAACTTCGACGGGTATACAAATTCGATTTATTCGGTGACAGTGGCAGCTGTAGATCAAATGGGCAAACATCCATACTATTCGGAATCGTGTGCTGCGAACTTGATCGTGGCATATAGTTCTGGTGGGGGGAACCGTATTGTGAGTTCCATTTGCCTTAAGTTTATCTAGTTGTTTACGGGTCTTGCGTTCAAGTTCACAACGGATGTTGGTAAAAACAGGTGTACGAGCTCCCATGGTGGAACTTCGGCTGCGGCACCTCTTGCTACTGGCGTACTTGCCCTCGCTCTCCAAGTCCGGTACGGATGTGTTTTTATTGGTTCTTCACCCATCCTTACCCTCATGCAGTCCTGATTTGACCTGGCGTGACATCCAATATGTCACTCTCATGAGCGCTTTGCGGATCAATCCTAATGATCCTGATTGGGAAAAGACTGCTTCGGGTCGATACTACAGCTATAAGTATGGCTATGGTGCGCTCGACGCTTGGACTCTCGTCGAACTTGCCAAAACGTGGGAACTGGTCAAACCCCAAACATGGTTGGAACTCCCTGAGATCGACATGGAAGGGGCTGAGGTCTTATCTACTGGGAAATTGCGTGGCGGGAAACCAATTCCTCCTGCGGGCCTGCAATCCTCGACCCTTGTAACGAGTGAACAGCTGAAACAGAGTAACTTTGAGAGATTAGAACATGTGACGGTTAAAGTTTGGATTAGCCATACGAAGAGAGGAGATGTTGAGGTTTGGATCGTTAGTCCGAGTGGGATAAAGAGCGTTCTTGCGGCGCCCAGACGCTTCGACATGTCTCCGTCGGGCTTTGTTGGGTGGCAATTTATGTCAGTTAAGCACTGGTAGGTGGTTTTGCTGCTGTAGTAGGTCCAAGTCTAAGTTGTTGTTTAGGGGAGAAGATCCCAGAGGCACTTGGACAATCCACGTTAAGGACCAAGGCCATGAGGACAGCACAGGCAGCTTTTTGGGCTGGAGCATGACTTTGTGGGGCGAATGCATCGATCCTTCGAAGGCCAAGCTGTATGAACTCCCTGCTCCACCACCTGATCCTCATGAGGGTCACGCGGACGACGATGCATTCCACAATACTACCCTTACTCACACATCTACCACCTCAAGCACTTCCACTACCAAAGTGCGTCCTAAACCCACTGCAAACCTGCCTGGTGATCATGACATCGCCGATGGTGAAAACACTAAGCCCGCTTTCCACACTGGTGAGAAAACAACATCTCCCTCCACACCAACCGCGACGTCAACTACTTCACCATCATCGTCCATTTCACCATCTGTCACGCCCGATGAGGGTATCTTCTCCCATATGAGCAATCTCCTTTCAAGCAATACGTGGCTTTTTGGCGCCATCGGTACCGTTCTACTCTTCGCTGTTGGTGCAGGTATCTTCTTCTACCGCCGAAGCGTGCGCAGAAGAAGAGCAGCTGGCGAGTATTCTGTAGTGAGCGGCGACGATGATCATGCAATGGGAACACTAGACGGGTCGGGTCGGCGCACGCGAAGTGGATCGAATAAGGGCAGAAAGGGGCGGACGAAAGAGTTGTATGATGCGTTTGCGGAACGTGGAGATGAAGATTCCGATGAAGATGCTGATGAGGAGGATGAACTGGTACGTAGGGCTGCAAGTCCCGTTTCTCCGAGGTTGAGGTATCATGATGGGTTCTTGGATGATGAGATGGGAGAGGAATCGCCTGTTCATGGGGGAGGACGATATCGGGATGATGTCTCCGGTGGGAACGAGAAAATTGTTGCTGTTGAAGAGAATCGGAGTGGTAGTGGGACCGAGGATGGAACTGGGAGTTGGGAGCATGCTTCTGCTGATGCCCCAAGATAAAGATTGATTAGAGATCATTCTTCATTTTCTCCTTGTACATGTTGCATTACAGTACACTTTGTTTTGAATTTATGTAATATGATAAGCACTTTATCTACACATAAGCGCTTCGTTGCACCAATTAGGAAGGGCCAAATGCCAATTCAATTCACTCACACGCCGTGGTTTCCCGCAGCCTGTTTTATCCTCGAGACATTATACCGCGATCCGAGTAAACTCCTCGCGCTATTAGAGCCCTAATCACAAATATGGGTGCAGGAAGTAGTGCCGCTGGTCCCTCTCGAATCATCAAACTGCCAGATGGACTGGACGACGTCAGTGATTCCGAGATAGGATCTGGTTCTTCCACATCTATCGACTCAGAAAATCCAACAGAAGATGAAAAAGCCAAGAATAAGTTCACTGTTGGTTAGTGCACTGGTCTCGCCCGTTAGTGGCCCGTGTTGAATACTCAATGTTAAAAAACTTGGATGCAGAGTATTTCACTGAAGCGAGGCCTGACGGTGAAGGAGGCTGGCTCTATAATGTGAAGGTGTGGATTCCCAGTATCCTCCCTCACCATCCCATCGTCAATCCACCGTTGTATTTTCCAGTGGTATCGCTACAAGGACAATGAGAAGAATAACACATGGGAACCTAGTTACAGTTTGAAGGCCTGTAGGTTATTGATGCGTAGTTTCTGGGAGCATGTGGGGCGCGAAAGGTCTGACTCGTCGATATACCACGAGGACAACCCAATTATACCCACAGATGAATGGAAGCGTGGGTATTCCTTCCCTTTAATTTCTAGTTTTAGACTTACGACGTCACAGAGGAATGCGCAAAATTGCTGGTCGAGGCCCTCCAAACCAAGGGAAGAGCCCGATACGGCCGAGAGCATAGTGGGTTTACTCCAGAACCACCGGCTGAACGGAAGAAAAAGAAACGTGGCAGGGCAAGGATGATAATTTCCGATTCCGACTCTGGTGGTGCTCGATCGGGCCCAGCGAAGGGAAAATCCAAAGGGAAAAGCAGGGCTTCCATACAAGATAGCGCTCAGGCACGGAAATATCAACCTCATCCCAAAAAGCGCGGGCTTGGGTCTTCGGTAAGGCATGGTTGATCGGATATTTGGCATGAATGCTCATCATCACATAGTCTGGAAGCGGCGGAGAGTCCTTTCAAGGTGGCGCGCGAATTGCGAAGAAACCGCCCAAAAAGAAGGCAAAAACAAAAGCTGGGTCTCCTGGCCCATCGCGGGACGGCACTGCGAACTCCGCCATGCCGTTGACTAAAACTGCATTACAGCCCCTTCCGAACCTTATTACGAAGCGTCAACGTGCCGATTCTGAGTCCTCTGAAGAGGTTCCCCTGACTACAATGGTACCAGCAACGTCCGAACAGCTCATCCAGGACAGACGTGATTCCGCACGGTCACAGTCTGCGGCATCGAGTAAGTCAACCCCTGTTCCACGGGTCATATCTCTTCCCAGAGAAGCCACGGGTCCTGCAATTCCATCATCATCTCCGCCTCCAAAGATCGTTAAGACTTCGAATGAAATCCAAATGAGACAATCTTTGGACCCACCCCCTTCCCCTCCCGGCACCGTTCCTGCGTCGACCCCCAGCCTTCCTGTAGCACCCCTCCCTCCCCCGGCCGGGCAAGCCGCAACCCCTACGGCAGTGACTCACAATACACCCGCCGCCCCTGCTATACCCATTCAACCAGCGGTGACCCTTAATCAGAAAGTCGACAAACATCGAGGTTCGCAAATCAAGCTCGTACCCACTCGATTCCATCCTGTCTCATCCCTGACCACGAAGGCATCAATAGCGGGAGTGCTCAGCCCCGCTCTATCCGTGACAACAGCAAATAGTACCAATGTACCAGCTATTGACCCACAGGTTTCGCCTACCCCGGAAGATGCTGCCAACACAACCACCAATCCACTCAGTGAACTTGTGCCATTGCGGCCATTGCCCTCTCTGAGTATATTGAACGATAACTCAAAAGACGATTATAGGGTCGTGGATTCACCTGTGACTCTTTCTCCTACCAGCAGTATTGAAACTCCTCTTAGTGCTTCAATGAAGAAGTACGTTGGTGGTCCTATATTTTGACCACGTTTAACTCTGCTTCAAGGTTCCCATCCAACAGAACGCGAAAGAGCGCTATGGATGTCGTGGACGAAGCTAGCAAGTCCTTCGGAGCGCCTCGAGTATACCCGCCTTACCCTTAACCCCTCTTGCTCCAATGTACGTCTTGGTATTTCGTGCAAATGTGAAAGCAATATTGATGGGCATCGTTGATTGAAGACCAGAACCGAAACCCGCACCCAAATTACAGAAAAAATGGGAAGGAGAGCTTATCGTATCCGACAGTGTTTTATGTCGGGTGCATGTCGAACCCGTTGTCGGGCCTTCGTCGCGGTTGTTACCAGTCCTGCTTCGGTCTCTTACGGCACTGAAAATGACACAATCATATCCGGCGTATGGTGTTCACTACTTTTTGACTGCTGCATATGAGTCTCCCTCCGAATTTGCCAGAGTGACGGCTGACGTCCAGAGTACCCAATGTCTGCAGAATCTAGGGTCGTATATGGAGCATGAGTCCAAAGTAAGCTGAGTGAATAAAATTCCTTCGGGGCGTAAGCTGATCTGCAATCCAGGCTAGCTTTCTTGTCGCCAGCGAGTCATTTGGAACTAGCGTGTTCTTGATGTACTCACCTAAAATCACCATCCCGTTCATCACTCTACCACCTATAGTCAAGGCCACTGCAGTACCGCTGGTCATCGTATTATTGATAAAGAAGAATTCCCGTCCACTTCCACTGGAAAAAATCAAATCCATCTCGCGTCGTAGTCTCCCTCCGATTCCCAGAACTGACACCCTCTACTCCAACCCGATGTACCAGATTGCGGCACGCCATTTTGGTGTCTCGAAGACTTTTATCGACTACATTAGAGGGAAGGACTATTGTATCTACACTGCAGCGTGCTCGACGGAACCGTCATTGTGGCCAGCGGCTCCTGATTGGACGGCGGATGATCCGGAGAGTAGGCGACTATTTAAATTGCTTACTTTGTTGGACGCAAAGCGAAAGGGTTGGATAAGCTTGGAGACGGACGTCGTCTTCATCCATGCAGACACGTGGGACTCCACCGAAACACCCATGACTTCATCCCTTGTAACGCGGGCAGCGCAATCGGAGACTCAGTTCTTCAGGTTTGGGACCTCTTTGGCGCCTCTTTATGGAGAGCAACCGCATGTGAAGGCGGTCTTCCCAATTGGTGAGCCTTGCAAAAAATCTTGGTGCAAGAAATTATGTACCAATTCTCGGTTGTCTCCAAAAAGGCGGTATCCTAACCTTCACGCCCCGTGCAATCTTTGAAAAATGCGAGAAAGTCTTTCAGCTCATTGACCAAGCCGCGAACAACACGTTTTGGCAGGTTTATGTTCATGCGGAGACAATTGGCCTTCTTAACCTCCTTGTTCATGAACCAAAGGCCCCTCCGTAAGTCCGGGACTACATGGCAAATCGTGCCAACTAACAGAGTTGGTCACTAGGTCATGCTCTCATGCCTTGGTCGGCATTCTCGCAAGACTGAAGAGTAACAGTTTTGATAAAACATGCCTTTGCATCACATCAAGCCTCCCTCCCCCCAATCTGATGTGACAACCACTCAAGATCTACACGAAGCATGGATGTACGAACAATTCAAATTCAGGGATCTCTATGAGGACGAAGATTCACTTGTTGCGGCGTGCGTCTCCCGCTTACGTCAGAAATATTGTAAACGAGAGAAATTGGATGGGTGGGAACCAGGGAGGGACGGGGAGACTGACACGAAGTCTGAAGACATGGGCATGAAGATAGACACAGGATCCGATGAGAACGATGATCTTGTTGAGATGGAAGGATTCGTGAATCAGTTAGTGGCGATGGATCTGATGGACATGAGACGACAACCCTATTTGTATACGTCGTATCGACAGTATGTGATGTTGGTGGGTGGGAACCTTCGTCTTATGGCGCCAGCGGCGTGAGTCAGATTTTTTGATCTTTGTCTAATTTTATTTCGGTCGCTGATTTTCTGTTCCTCACTTCGTTGTTCATCCCTACGTAGATCAAAGCCGTTTTGTCAGATGCTTTTACTCTGCCCGAGGATTAAATCATTTTCCCTGCCCCGCCGCCATCTTTTCTCTTTCTCCATACCCGGCGTTTCGCGCCTCCCCATCCCGTCATCCCCTCACCTCTCAAGTCAAGACGCGTCGGCATTGAAAGTGTGGCGTTATTGTATATATGCAGTACGACGTAGCTTAGTGTACACATATTTCTTGCTCCACAACCTCCCGACGCTTGAAGTGGCGCACACATTGAGCCAGCCACACCCAAATGGATGGGACGTCAAATTAATATATGGCACTGTGCGGTGCAGGGCAAAAGTGAGTTTCGTGTTGTGAATCTAACGAGGTGCGGAGGTGCGTTTGACAGCGTTTGGTCAACTCGAGTCATTCATGGGATGAAGGCATTTCATCAAATTCCCCTCTTTCGCTTTAATTATGATCGAATACGTGAATGGGAGCAGTGAGAAGACCAACCCCGTAGACTACATGATAATTCAAACACGCCTTATGTCCTCAACTACTGACTATTTTGCGTACTATCTGTCAACCCAGTTGCCTAATCCCTTCAAACCGTTCAGTCGTGCCACAGGTGATGCTGCAGTTGGTTCAAAGTCGGTGAGGTTCTCTGCATGTGGACAAATAGATGCTCAGTTTGTATCTAGTATAGTGATTGCACAGGTTTTTTTTTCCCAGCGAGCATTTGATGTCGTAGGAGAGTTGGCACTCGAAGCAGCTCCCCGGCTTCCAGAATGCAGCAATGGGGACACATCGGGAGGAATATCGTTTGAAAAGTTCTGCGTAAGTGTGTGGTCGGGGCTGAACGCTTGAACATCTGATTTTGAAGGTGCATGCTGTCACCTGGGCTATAGATCGTTGTGGTGAATGCAATGAGCCTCGGCACGAGAAGGAAAGTCTTGATTCGTTTCATTCCCACTGAATGACTTGTACCATTCTCGCAGTGTGCCTCGCACATCTTGATTAGTGTTAAACTACAAAAGGAGACTGTCCAGACCAATGATTCTACATGTGCCAGCGCAGGATTGTTATGTTCCATGGGTCACTGATTCCAGTGACTTTCGCTACCCATATAAATTGGCGCCAGCGTTACCCATGACATTGGGATTGGTATAAGATAGGATGAATGGCTCGCCGCCGTTGATTGATGATACAATCCGAGTCGTGACAGATATCCAGAAGCCGAGAAGGATGATGTATGTACATTCTCGTGAATGCGATGGACCCACTTCGACCACTTACGCGTAAGTGGCTGAATCGTCCATCGCAGGAACTAAGCAGGAACAAAGGTTGAGAGCGCGGGAGGTGGTAGCTACGTGTGTCACCTTATGCATGAACCTAATGAAAAGCGATCTTGATGTATATCGCAGTTGCGGAAGCCCCATGACGTCTGTAATAACAATCACCCGACAAATATATACCTCCGGAACGAAATGGCCCGAGAAGCAACGATCCATCGGGGGGCGTCGGCGGCAATTGTATATGAACTAGAATATAAACGGAAGGATCTCTTACTCTCTTGCAACAACGGCTCATAGTTGGTGCGGGTCTTCAACACACAGAGTATTGGTGCATACAAGCATGGAAACACATATCACAATGACGAGAACCGGGTAAGCAACGCACCTCATAGAATACTAGTCGCTGGAGGGGGAAGCGGGATATACCAGGGAATGCAACGGCAGCATGTGTGTGATTGTGATGGCTGGCACAAGCATATCATTGGCCGGGAAAGAAAGCGCCCCCTGCTCAATGGCTGATGGCCTAGCCCTAATGTGCCAGCGCTTACCCTCTGGGGAAATGCGTACTTGTGGCACTACTGTGGTTGGGCTGCCGACCACTGATGATCGGAGCCAGCTCGATGACCGGACCAATGCAATGGCTCATTAGTTCAATCAAAATTATACACGAACAAAAAGAGTTCCCCACAAAGTTTGGTTGAGCTGAAGATTAGTAGGATTATGCAACCATCCACCATCTTGCATTGTGGGCTCCAGCTGAGCACGAGGGAAGACGGCAGTGGAGGATGGAAGAGGTCTGGAGGCAAGTCCCATCGAAAACTGAGGATGGGGTGTAGGCCCCCCGGAAATGGGTATGGTCATTGGGTCATCAGGCTGGAGTCGGCCACGCGATTCGTGTTGGGCAATGGCCCCAGTGAGGATAGCCCGGATAATTTCCCGGTCCTGGAGCCTTTGCCTTCTATATGACACTACAAATGCAGGATCAGCCTCCTGTGGCTGAGGAGGCTAGTAAAGTGCAATATACATCTACATCAGTTGTGTTGGGAGCGGTGCCAAGTGATTGCCTCTCAAGTCACCTCATTTCGGAACGAGCAAACAGCGCCTCTGCAAATCTTACAACGATTTTTCGGCATGCCTTCCCTCTCGAGGATTGTATCGGAGCAGTGGCTCTGACATAATGAGCGTCGGCTGCGCGATCCCAGGGAGTTCTGCCTTACTTTCAAGCGTGAAATGACCCGACGATCGAGAAAAGCGGTGCACCCCAACACAGGGAACTGCGTCGAACGTCCCGACACGACCCAACAGCTTCAGGGATGCTCAGCGTTGTAGGAGTCAAGTAGAACCGGTTCTTGGGTTGAGCTGTGGGAAGTTGTTTGTTGAACACTGAACAAACAACGCGTCGGCATTTTCCTTGCCGATTCTCGCTGTTAGAAAACCAAAGGGAGTGCCCACACTGCGAACCGCAGTAAAGGGACGTTTTTGTGATCGGCTGCCTAGGTCCCTTCTCGGAGCGAGCTCAGTCGGTAATGTCCTCTTTCCATATCGTGTAAACTTGATGTCGGTCGGATTGTGTGCCTTCACGCTGTCGCCCCGCATCTGTATGGTTGCCTGCGCTTGTCGCGCGAATTGTGTTCCTTGCGATGTTTCTGTGCAAAAATATGGCAATCCTCAAGAATACATCAAAACTTGTGGCACAAAGATATTTCTGGTACATTCTAACAGTCACAAACCGACTTCTCGAAGGCGAGAGACTTGAGAGGGTGCTTGTAGCCTCCTGGACACTGTGCCGACCGCCTCCATCCTCATGCAGTCCTCATTGTCTGCGTTATCTAAAGGCGTCATCACCCTTTGCTCCAGGCCATGCGCCGAACTTCGTTCGGCAGGGATGCAAGTCTTATCGGTTCGTTGCATGCTTGGGGCAACCGTATATCTGCACGTAAGCCAAGTCAGGCACCAGTCTCGGAGCAGCAGTTGTGTGTCGGGTTATAGTCGCCACACAAGGTCACCCAGACACCCCACCCGTGTTGCGCTCCACAATTCGACTCCTACCCGGCTCTCCAAAAGTTCCGGCATAACATTAGTGCCAGGCCGCTCAGCTATCATCCAACCGCTCATCGCAACTGGCTGTTTTCCAGGGGCTGAATCGTCTTCCTCCTGATTGCAACAGCCTCTTCAACACTGAGCTTATGTGTTTCTGCATGCCGAGACTCTACCATATCTGATGATGATGTTCCCCGAAATCTCGCTCAACCTTGGGGGATGGAAACATCATGGTACAGTGTTTATGGTTGCCCGATCACTTTGCTAGTTCAACAACAAGGCTGATTTATCCCTTGCGAGTAGTTCTTGATGGACAAGCCCTCCGCTCAGGGTCTGAAGAAGCAGACGTGTTGTGCATTCGAAACCGCTTAAAATGAATGTCTGCATGCGTAGCTCATAGTGCAATGGACATCGATTAATTTACACCCCTCAAAAACCGTCACTAGGCCCAGCATTGGCATTCCTGACTTTCTTAAATTGATTCTAAAAACGGCCAACCTGGTGGATGGTACCCGTCTAGCAACTTGTTCGTCGGGAAAAGGTAATCATTTCGGCCCCAAGTACAACTTCCTGAAAAACGCCATTACTTGAAGACATACCGAATGAACTCCTGTTAGAGGCAGCCCTCAATTGCACTCCCCGCCAAACGCGTATGACTAAAGTCCTTGTTAGCTTGGCTCTCATTTCCCGCCAGCGGAACGACACGTCTTTCCACAACCTCTACAGAACCTTTCTACATCAAAGAAATGCCGTATCCGATGATAGATCAGCATTTCAGGTGCATACAGCCAAGGAAACCAGAGGCGTGTGGTTTTGTAGACGGTGTGGTGTAGATAAAGCCAGAGGAGCCCGTCCCTTTGGGTGATTTGCCACCTGGGAGGCCAGAAGTATTAATCTCTCGCGCGGTGCGAGGCGGGAGTCGCTCTTGAGTGAAATCAAAGATCTACTAACAACCCTTTTATTTTCCGAAACTTGATTTTTTCAGAACAAAGTTAGTTCTTACGTAGAAACTCTTGCATTCGGGATCGGTCTTGTCGGAGTCGTGCATGGTGTTCCTCAATCGATTACCAGCTTAGCTCCGTACGTGGTAAAGGAGCCGAAGATAACACCGTAGATATCCTATGCACACATTTCCCAACAATAATGTGTTTCATTCCCTTAAAGTGGCGCACACCTTAAGCCAGCTATACGTGAATAAATGGGACTTAATATACGGCACTGTACGATACAGGACAAAAACAGTTTTAGCGTTGCGGATCTAAGGAGCAGAGAAAATGATGCAATTGGCCAACTTCCACTCGTGAAAACACAGTATTTCACCCACATTCCCTCCCTTCTATCAGCCTGTCTCTATGAGCAAATACGTAAATGGAAATGAAACGCCCTGTATAACGATCGGTCCCAAGAGTTTCGGTGGTTGGAGTGAGCACTGCCTTGTCCATCTCTAATGACCAGAATCCCATCACTTGTTATGCCACAACAGAGTCTTCAGCCCATCCCAGCTGTTCGAATCCAAGTATAGGTACTTCATACTGCTCCACATTCCAGGATTGATGGTTTCTTCACGATGACGGAACAACCACATAACGAGCGCCCATGTGAGTGACGCGAAGACCGTGAAGAGTTTAGCGTTGGGCGGAATGGGTTTGTTTGTTCCGTTTATACCTGGAGGGTTTTTTGAAGGGAAGGAACGAGGAATGAAAGATGCTAGGACTCGAGAGGCTACGTAGAGGACGATCTGTGGGCATTAGGAAAAGCAATCAATTTCCAGATGTGTGTCAGAAAAAAAAGACAGAAAAATTTGCTTCACCTGTTCGTTAATAGCTGTCCGCTCCCCGAAGACAATGTATCCACCAATCAACCCTGCGATGAACGTGTCGGCAGAGCGTTCCTTGTCATCATTTAGTTTTCTTTGGAGGAGCAGCAAGGTTTTGTAGATGGTGACAAATTTCGCTAGGTTTAGTGCATGTGTGCGGGTGGCTTTGAATATCTGCTTGATTCGGGATTGGACACTTGCCAGAGTGAAACAAGTAGTAGTTGAAGAACAACATTTTCATTGTCGGGATCCACGATTACGCGTTAGAAATTGAGCGTACGTGCAATGGAGGAGTATACGTTAAGTTATATAAAAAGATGATGGTAGGATGTACTCACTCCCCACGTCCGAAGAGAACGCTCATAATGAGCGCATGGGGAAACCTGATCTTTACACCATACACAAACCCATTCCGGGCACCCTTCAAGATCGAGAGGTAGTCGTGATATTCTGGTCGTAATATTAGGTCGTTGATGGTTGTGAGCAGTGATGGTGAAGACATCTCGTCCTTTGGTTAATTATCCCCAACAGAGCAAAAATGGCAGGGGTTCCGTGGGTGGAAATAACAAGGCTGATGGAATAAAGAGAGAGAATGTAAAAGAAACCTTCGAACCGAGTCTCAGCGGGTCTTGGTAGGCGGGGAAGCACGACACTTCAGCTTTAAAACTTTTCAGGATGGCGCAAGAGCCGAAGCCGGTGGCTGTGCAAATGATTTAGCTATGGTTCCGGCCGTTGCGCGGGCATCCGGCAGTAAGTACGTTATCTCTAACAGCTGTTTTGCCTACGCTGCATTAACACTGACATGTGCCTGTTGACTGGTTCGAAAGATACCCCAGAGCTGACGCCGACGGACGGGAGCTTTGGGCCGGCTGCCGCCAGTCCCAGCAGGATAGCGCTACACCTTTACCTACTACATAATTCCGCACGTATGCACAAAACTTACGTGAACATTATCAAGATGAAGACTCAATGACAATGTTTCCATTGAGGACTATCGGGTTCCGATAGAGACTGGTAACCTGCCTAGTGGGCTATCGGAAATGATGCTCAAAGCGCAAGGACTAGTTCTTCAATGGTTGGGATTTCGTTTGAAGCGACTTTTGATATTGGGAAGAAGTTTGTTAGGACTGTTATGGAGCATATCGCACGCTGCATTGGACACGACTGTTCATCGGATTCTTTGCTCAGATTCAAAGCACTGTCATCTCTGTCCTACCGGCCGATACCGCCCTCAAGGAACCAATACGCCACCTTATTCAGGTCGTCATACAACGGTACCAACGTCAATTATGCGTCAAATTCATCATCGGCACATTTCAATCAAGCTGCGAGCAGTGATACGTTGAGATACATCCTCCCCGTTTCGTTCTCGCCCCCATCTTTCCTCCATTACGACCATACACACCACGATCACTTTGAGCGGGGTGAGGCTACGCATATCTACTTAGTACAATACAAGCCCTTTGATCGGAAATCAACTGTACATAGGGATTTGATTTCCCCTATTACCTGGACATGTTATGGGACGTACGTACCATGGAGGAAGGCAACATTTTGATGTCTGACACGGGTTAGAGTGGAGTAGCAAAATAATGAACCAAAAATTGTTGTACTTACGCTAGATGATAGTGGATGTATGTACTCTACGCGATCGGGGAAAAAGTTGGTGATTCTTTATGTGGTGAAGATATAGCACTATGCACTCCCGTAGGGAAGGGACTTCCCTGCGTGAAAAAGGAAAAATGCAGTCGTCATGTCTAAAATTCTTCAGGCAGGGCACAAAGTTTGCGTGCTAGAACCCTTTTCAGGTCCATGATTTCCCCGATGAACGTGTCATTTGACGGCGGTACCTACATCAATGATCTAAACGTAGGACTAATTCTTCAATGGTCAGACGTTCGTTGGGATTCCGTTCGAGGCAACAACTAATACTGGCAAGAAATTCATCAGGACCATCCCATTCGAATGGGGCACGTCCATCCGATATCGCGCGCAGAACCGCAAAGTTGGTCTCTGACGCATGATACGGTCTTAAATCAAAAAGTATCTGAAAACAACGCGAGGAATGTCCCCCGAGTCAGTAGATTCGCTGGCTGGCAATGTTACATCATGAGTTGTACCTGTCCAGATGTACAGCCAAAAGCCCACATATCGCTTTTGCGATCGCGGTGTTGCACTTCGTAACTAAGTACCTCTGGGGCCGTATATCTTGTAGTACCAGCAGTGCTTGACCCATCCGCGTACGTGGAGGAATCGAGAAGGGTGCATGACAACCCAAAATCACAGAGCATGGCGATTCCTTCTGCACTGACGACGATATTTTCCTATGAAAATCCCGGACGATGAACATCATGGCCATCGAAAGATTAGGCTCATACCGGCTTAATGTCACCATGAATCACATCCTTGAGATGAAGATATTGCAGGCCTCTAGCCGCACCGAGAACCTGCCAAGGAGCAATAAGACGGTCGCTCGGGTTTAGCGGAACGACGCAACACTCCCCAATCGACGACGGTCAGCATTCGGAGTTTTCCTCAAGTACTCCCCCACATTCCCACCCTCACACCACGCCGAAATAAGTTTGGCACACGTTACATCGGTTTCTGGAGAGCACCCAACTGTCCATCCATGAAACGTGACAACATTCGAGTGTCGTAACGTTGACCAGACTTTGACCTCACGCATCATCCTCTGGAGCGGCAAGTAAATGCATTAGCTCTCCTGATTGTGTGAAACGATGGAGTTCGGAAGGACGGACCCGACAAAACTTTGTGATAACCCCCTCGCTCGCAGAAGTTCGGACTTCTTTCAGGACTTTGACACATACAATTTCCTGGAAACACGACTCGCCCCCATCAATTTACTATCTAAGGGGGATACGGAATGAATCTTCTTGCCCCTTTATAAACTCCTTGATAAACCTTTCCAAAGCTACCATGGCCCTTCAAAACTTCATGTTGAGTTATTTTCCCGACGAGATTACGACTGTCAACTTCCGAGAGTTCCAAAAGAAGGCCCAGCAACCAGGGAGGGTGTTGTAGTGACGGTGCAGGAATGCATGTTGTCGGTGTGTTGGAAGAAATCTCGAGCCGAGATTGGGACGGTAAGGTTTGCTCTTTTGAGGTCTCAACACCGTTGATTTCTTGCTTATTGGTGGCAGAGTTCTTATAAGATGACATATCCGCAAATCTTGACTCATCATACCTTGAAACTCCTGGGCCCCAGAATTTCAGGTCGGGTTCCGGGGTCCTCAAGTGCTACCATCCTGGGGCTCGGCGCAGTGCCAGGGGACATATAAGGTGGCGGAGAAGAGCTTCGGTCGCGGTCTTCCTCCGACGTAGCAATTGAAACGTGGGAACGATGATGGTCTATAGGTAGATCAGGAGGCACCATACTGCGTGGACGCGGATCCTCCTCAAAGACATGATTTGGGATGTCGTAGCGATTAGTTCTTGGTGGCGGAAGGCCTGGTGCTATCCCGCTATTCGTGGCCCTTGTAGGTAGTGAGAGTCACCTTTGGGATGAAGCGAATTGATCTTCCGTCCCCACCAAAGGACGGAATAAGAGGAACGAACCTCGGGATAACACTGGAGCTTCGAAGAAAGGCCGCAGGAATGTTTACTTTCCCAGGAAAGACGCCATTAGCCTTCTGCGGAGATGGCGTAGCGATTATAGGTGTTGAGGTGCTGGAGCTGGAACGAGAACGAAATGGGGATCGGTGCAACGGTAGGCCTTTGCGCGTGCGAATAACGACCTTGCTATTGTCAGAATTCCCTTCCTAAATAAAGACCAAGATACAGTGCAGTTGCTGGAAGCTTTGACCCCATCACACCTTAGAATTAAGAGTTCTAGTCTGAGTGTTGTACCACTGAGACGTCAGTATGCCAAACTTTGATGAAGCAGTTCGTGGAGGATCAGTTCCTAGAGGCACCCGGGAAAGCTCCGCATTGCCATTAACAGTGATACTCGAGAATGATGAGAGGGTCCTTCGAGGAGAGGCGAGTTGAACTGACTTCCTCGTGCAAGAACGACATAAGGCAGCAAAGACGAACCTTGAGGGGTTGCCAGATTCTCGAATAACAACGATCATGGGAAATATCGATCGTGTAGTTGAGATGAGTTTAGCCCTCTGCCGGGCATCTAATATAGAACCTTTCGAGTCAATTAACACATTATCCAGCAATTCGTTAAGCTGTGACGAGGATAGATTATCCGCGGCCTCCGAAAGCAGGCCAGACGCAGCTGTCCATCTCAGCGGAGGTTCGAAATTCGGTCGAGATACTAGTTCTCCCATGGCTTGGTCAAAATTAGACCGAGCCATTCGGATGCCCTGCTCGACAAGCTCTCTATTGAATGATCCACTTTTAGTGCTCGCGATTGAACTAGCAAGAACGAATTTCTCAAGAGGCCCAAGGTTCGACTGTTGAACGAAGTGCGTCAGGTTGAAATATTGGAGGAACTCGGGTTCGTCTTCGATTGCTTCACCGATTGCGTGGCAGAAACGTGGTGCGAGGAATGGATCCCTTGCCATCCCGTGAACTTCTTGAACAAGGAGTCGGAATGCGAGTGAAGGTGAGGTTTCGGCCCTTCGTCTCCGAATCGCAAAGGCATAGTATGTCAGGAGCCATCGAATAAAAAAAAGATATGCCTCCACGCCATGTAGATCGCAAAGTAATCGCATTTTCGTCCGGATCGTGTCATTGATAGCACGATCGCGCAAAAAGGAATGCTGGTGAACGAGCCCTTCATATGTTCTTTCAGTGAGAGTAGACAACAGAACTGTAATATCAATTTGGGCTCGGAGGTTCAATTCACCAGGCGGAGGGGATGATGCCATGCGTCGCGACTCGCACTTGTGTGAGCGCTAATTTCGCAGTTTGTGTGCTCTATCATCCCCGCCATGTGTTTCGAATTTGTATTGAGTTGTGCATGCTGGTGGCTGTGTGTGGACCTACATGAAGCCCAGCCTCATTGAAATTCAAATTGACTGTTGCTGCTCACATGCTACAGTCTAGCGCATGACCAGGACTAGTCTTGTCACTGTCCGTCAACACTGATATACGGCATACTTACAGCAGCGCCTGGAGAAATCGTGCCCATGAGTCGTTCACTGACACCCAAGGCTGACGGGAGCCTTGCGCTACTCATCACAGTACTAGATTTCACGATTGATTCGAGCAGGATGAGGCTACCCATTTCTAGTACAATATTCCCGTCTACCCACACAGAAGTTACATGAGATGAGACAACGGTGATCCACAATATCCCCAATGAAGGTGTCGTCCATCAGCGGGTACCCGTATTGATGACAATTAAAACGCAGAACCAGTTCTTCAATGGTTGGGCGCTCACTGGGGTTTCGTTCAAGGCAGCTATCAAGATTGGTGAGAAAGTTGTCGGGGCCGTTCCATTTGAATGGGTGGCGCCCATTCATTATCGCGCGCAGAATTGCGGGATGGGTTTCTAGGCCATGATACGGTCTTAGATCGAAGAGTATCTGGAAGCAACGCGAAGCATACGCCCAAGTCAGCAGGGACCGGTTGCATAGCAATGTCACATCCTCGCACCTGTCCAGATGCACAGCCAAAGGCCCAAATCTCGCTTTTGGGATCGCGGTACCGTACCTCATAAGTAAGTACCTCTGGGGCCGTATATCTTGTAGTACCAGCAGCACTCGATCCATCCGTATACGTGGAGAAATCAAGAAGGATGTGTGACAACCCGAAATCGTAGAGCATAGCGATTCCTTCTCCATTGACAACAATATTTTCCTGGAATATCCGTGTCAATGATTCATGGCGATCGAGGGATGGATAGACTAGGCTCATACTGGCTTAACATCACCGTGAATCACATTCTTGACATGAAGATACTGCAGACCCTGGGCGACATCAAGAACCTGTTAAGGAGACATGAGTCGACCACTCGAGTCTGGTAGGAATGATTCAACACTCCCCAATCGACGACGGTCGGCACTGGGAGTTCTCTTCAGGTACTAAGTTACATTCCCTCCCTCACACCAGGCGGAAACAAGCTTGGCACATGATACGTCGGTTTCTGGAAAGCACTCAAGTGTCCATCCATGAAATGCAACGACGTTTGGGTGTCGTAAAGTTGTCCAGACCTTCACTTCACGCTTCATCCTCTGGGTTAGTAGGTGAACAAGTAAGCACTCGTGATTATAGCAAGGAGACCAAGGAAATCGAAGATAAACGACGAACCCGACAGAATTTTGTTACAACCTCCTCATTTGTACACAGTGGAAAATATTTACCATTTTTTGTCTGGTAAAATACGAGCTCAAACACGACTGGAGCGGCGGTAATATACCAATTTGTATGCAGTAATTGACCAGAAATGGATACCAGACCAAAAATGGTGAATAACATCAGTTTTTCTGGTGATGTACGATGTTTTTTATGGTAAACGGCCATTTTTACCAGATTGGTATTTGGTCATTTACTGATTCGTCGTTGGTACTTTACGATCTTTGGCATGGTACAATATGGGTCAGAGAATATTCATTTATATGATAGTTAATACACATAGTGTGGCCATCAGAAGTGACCCACAGGCGATGCACGAGCAGTACAGTACCAAGAGAGATAGAACGGTAGTGGAAAACTCGAAGCATTCTATGCGAAAAAGAGCAGAGGTGGGATTGGGCGGAGTTGAATGAGTCGGCGATAGCAGTGTGAATAAGAGTGGAAGGAGTGCAAGTGACCAGAGTGAAGTACTGTAAAAAAAGTAGTAGTTAGAACATGGGTTATGACTTTTGGGAGTGATAAGCGATGGAAGACATAGCTAGGTCAATGTCAGGGGACGTCCGGTTATCCGGCCCCCCTTTACTCTAAGCGATATCAGTGAGGTAATCGTTAGCCGAGATTGCGTGAGATAATTATGTAGTTAGAATGCAGATATAACTCATTGCGCTATATTCACTATCACATCACCCCTTACCCGATATTCCCTCATTTCCGCATCTTCTACTTCTCTATTTGATGTCGTGCTTCTATCGGTTGCCATCGTTTCTCAATGTAACTGCGCTCTCGTGAGTTGGCAGAACTCATGTATATAGGCCACTATGCCAGCTGGGCTAGCACCCCAGCTTTGATATCGACTAGTTTCCTGGGGATAACCATTGCTGCGAACTGACGCGCGGACTCTGACAGTCAAATCCCTGATGGCTTGGGCATCGGCATTACTCTGCTTTTTCCCTTGCTGTTTGTTGTATGGGATGCTCCATGCTCTCTCGCATCGCATGATGAGTTGTCAATATGGCTCTTCGGGTTGGGCATTCAATGACCCACTCAATTTCATCGTCTCACGCTCAGGGTGTTTTGAAACAAGCTTTGAGAGTCAGTTAGAACGGAGATCCGCAAGAGAAATAAAGGGACCAACCATGTAGCTTCTCCAAGGGTGTCAAGTGTGCATGGACTACATGTCGGACATCATGCCCAAGAAGGCCATGTGAAAACTTGGCCTCGCAGATCAGGAGTTTTGATTTTCTGTGCAACAGAGAGATCCACAGATCAGGTGAGTCCCATGAGTATATGCTATGCTCGTGAAGAGGAGAGTGCATCGCAATCTAATGAAGGACAAAAGACGCGTGGAAAGATGTGTGGAAAGACACATGGAAAGACGTGTGATAGGATGCATGATAAGGCATGTCAGATAAGACTGATGATGTTGGAATTCCGATGGTTATGGCTCATTTGCCATGGAAAGCGTGTTGCCTCACTAGTGGAGCAATATAGCAGGCTAAGACTCAATAGGGGGTTTCACAGTTGGCTGAAGTGTGTCTGAAATGAGTTCTAAATTGCATCTAGATTGGCCCAAATTTTGGCTCACATGCAACCCGAGTTCAGAGCGACTTCAGGCCCAGTTCAGGAATTTTCCAATGGGTGTTCACAGTACTGTCATCTAAAGTGTGTCTAAAGTACCTTGGTCCTGGCTCCTGTAAGTCCGTCATCACGTTGTCTCCTCTGTATTATGTAATTACTGTGAAGTTCTAATGCCTGTTGTTTCTGATCGCCAGCATCTCATCCATGCTGCCATCCAGCATAGCCATCGACTGCGCATGCATTACTACCACCAACTCCGACGTCTGAGACTGAGCCTCAATGGCTCATTTAGTCCCAGTACTGACTCTGGCGACTCTAGTGACAATGGTACCAGCACAACCTCTGCATTGACAACAAGCAGCAGCAGCGACAACAACAGTGACAGCAACAACAACAGCAACAGCAACAACTCCCATCCATCTGATTTATCCTCCGGTGCTGAACATGACCGTGCACTGCGGTCCCTCCATGATTCATATTTCCAGTCCATGTTTTGCATGCGACATTTTCTCTCCACGCTCCTTTATCCACATGAGGTTCCCAAATGTAGTCAGCTAGGGCTCATTCTTGTGTGTTATAAAGATGACGACCGCTCCCGCTTTCGTCGAAATCTCCGCATCTCACCTCACACATTCAATATTCTCCTCTCCCTCATCCAGGACCACCCCTGCTTTCGTAATAGTTCTCAAAATGACCAATGGCCCATCGCTTACCAACTTGCTGTCACACTGTATCGGCTCGGACATTTCGGCAATGCAGCATCTGTTGATGCAATTGCACAATGGGCAGGTTGTAGTGCTGGGGCCGTTGTTAAGGCCACACGTCATGTCATGATGGCCTTTTTGCCGCTTCATAACCAGGCTATTCAATGGCCCAACACAGATGAGAAGCGCGAGGCATCAGATTGGGTGGAGAGTGTGTCTTGTCGTACATGGAGGCCCGGTTTTTGTATGGTTGATGGCACTCTCATCCCTCTTGCATCTAAACCTGGACATTTCGGGGAGCAGTTCTTTGATCGTAAGTCTAACTATTCCCTTAGTCTCACAGTGCATGTATTTTTTGTCTGCGGATTACTGGTGATGATGTCCTTCTAGCTCATAACATTACCGAATCTTCACATCATTGACTACGTGTTAGGCCCTCCTGGGAGTATGCATGATTCGACTGCGTTCAAGGAATCCCACACATTCACAGAGTCGGACCGACTTTTTCGTGACAGTGAGTGGTTGTGGGGTGACTCCGCATATGCCCTATTGCCGTGGTGCATGGTCCCTTATAAGCGCCCACAATCCCTCATTTCATCAAATCGACAATTCAACTACCATCTCTCAACGGTATGTTGGATATCTGGTAACTATTTACAAATTAAATGTCCTTTTATAACCCAGGTGTGTATAAGGTCAGAACATGCGGTAGGTTACCTCAAAGGACGATTTCAGTCACTGCGCGGTCTCTGTCAACAAATCAACTCGGAGCGTGACTATGTGCTTGCACTTGCATGGGTGCGCACTTGTTTAATAGTTCACTCATTTGCAGCGCGCATTGAAGATCAGGAGTATGAGAGCGATTTTTGGGAATGGGTTGAAGAGGGTCAGAGTGGTGAAGAGGAGAGAGAGGAGGACGAACCTGTTGAAGGCTTCATGTGGGCTGGAGCAGGACCACCACTGCCAGGAGAATCAGAAGCGCAGCAGAAGCGCCGACACATACAGGAAGCACTCTTTGATGCACTGTACTAACATGTATTTATTTTCAAATGTACTGCTGATTGTGGCACACATGAGGATGTGAAAACTCAGTGGTAGACTAAAAAATTGCAAAGTCTGGGACAGGATGTTGTTGTTGTTGTTGCGGCCGCTGCTGTTGCTGTTGTGACTGTACCTGTGCAAGTTGCAGCTGGAGCTTGAGGGACTCAATTTCGTACTTGTGATGCATCTTCTCTTTCTTGAGTTCAAGTCGTGCCATCTGCTGTGTGTGATAGTACTGAGCCTCTTGTTGAGCTTGTGCTTGGTCAACTTGCGTTGCTTCATGAAATTCAGCAATAAAATCCTTCCGGGCTCCCTTTGGACCTGGAGTGTGTGAAGCTTGCCAAGTGGAGTCAACCTTAGAGTTCAGTGTGATTGATGCAGAGGCTGCCCTTGCAAGCATGTGAGATGAGGAGGAACTGGAGTCTTCCAGATCCATCCTTGGCTTAACATCGGGGGCCTGCAAGTCTGGATGGGAGAGTGGCAAATCCAGAAGCGGCATGTCAATGTGAAAAAGTGGCGAGTTGGTATTAAGAAGTCCCAGGTCAGCTTGAGGTGCCGGTTCAGCCCAAGAGAGCAGGGAGTTGACATGGGGAAGTGGAAGTTGGAAAGTAGACAGTGATTCAGGAGGTGGATGGGAGGGTGTGTTTGCCTCATCCACGACTTGCTGTGGAGCAGAGACAGCTTGCTCCAAATCACTTACCATTTTTCTGGCACCACTCGTCAAGTTTGTTACCATTTGAAATGCATACTTGGGATGTTCCGACCACCAAGCATGCAGTGTGTTCCACCAAGGGAAAGATGCTTTAATCTTCTCTTAAATTGATGAAAATATCAGCAGCATATGTAAGGAATTAATAAGCGCCTCACCTAGCTGGTTTCTATACACCTCGGACTGACTCTCATCCTCATCTTTCAGACCTTCACCAGTGTTCTGCATTGTCTTGCGATATGTAGTATATGTCTTCTGTAAACTGTAATTGAGAAAATATGAGATGGCCTTAGCTGACAGCACAAGAGAGACTTACTAGGTGATCCGACCCAAGACAGAAGTTGCATAGCGCTCAGGTTCCATTAAATAAGCACCGCGTTCTTCCTCACCCCCAACATCAAAGACTGCCTTTGCTATCTCACAATAGTATTCGACCTTGGGTTTGCTACCAACAACCTAGGTGAATGTGAATGATGAGAGCTGGTGCTACCACATTGGGGGCTCACCTTTTTGCGTGACTCCTTCTTTGCATCCTTGACAGAGTCGCTGAACATCTTGAGTTGTACATCTAGGTGGTTTGTGAGGTATTCAATGAGGCGGTCTGTCCAGCATTCATTGGAATCCCATTGGATCTTTGGGGGGCAAGGCTCAGGTTTGGTTTCAGCCTTGATGATGGGAATGGTGGTGGACTCATCATCCTTGGTAGTGCGTGAGCAGCGCCCAGACCATGGCTGAGATGGTGTGGTTTGACCCTCCTCAGGATTATTGTGTTTGGGGGGCATGATGGCAATGTGGACTTAAGCAGCGACGAAGGGGACAGGTGATGGGGGTGAGGTCGGTGGTGGAGATGATGATGGTGCCGTGGAAGGGAGAGAAGGGACAGGTGATCTGAAAGGTAGAACTGTACAGTTAGTGTCTATGGACTTAGTAAGCGGTAAGGCCGAGTTCAGATGTACTTAGAAATTTGACTTCAGGCCAATTGGGGCTCCCAAGCCCCAAGTCAAAGTGGTCGGTTTAGATCAAGTTTAGGTCCAGTTTTGTCGCTCACGTGTCACTTCAGAAATTTCATTTTAGATCCAGTTTAGCTGACTTCAGTCAACCATGAAACCCCTAATGAAGCATGTTTTTGGGCAAAATACACGATAGCATTTAAAGTCGGGAGGAGGGCAGATGGTGAGAGGCAAAGGTAAGGGACTTGGGAGTTGCCGAATGCAACTTACGTGCCACAACTGTTAATGCGTCGCTCCAAACTGTCAACGCGTCACTCCAAACAGTCTGCTGTAGATTCAAACCCCCATGTCCATCGAAGGACACTGCTTATCAAGCATATAGTACTTGAATGCACTCTCCCAACTTCGAATTTCCCGGGCATCAAGGCGCCAACGACCCACATCATGGCTCTCCTTTCTGATTGCAGAGCTGATGACAATGCTGCACTCACTCAAATCTCCTTCATTTCTCTCTCAGACACAACACAGATTATCGCAAACTTAGCATCAGTATCATCGGTATGTGGCAGGTTTCATTATAGAACAGCATCGCTGCGATGGGGAGTTGTAGTTGTTGTACTCTATTTTGTTACCCCGTGGCCGCGTTTGTACGTGGCAGTGCGGCTAGCCCGACTAGTAATTACATCTGAATGTACATGAGGGGGCTCGTCAATACAAGGTAGGGTTGTCTGGTTGGTGTGGTCAGGGTGACGGGGTCCTCTGGGTTGTGATGTCTGGGTTTAAGTCTTATCTGGGTATGATGGGGAGTTGTAGGCCGTAGTATTGAGCTTGCACAGCCCACCTTGATGTCGACGATGATCGACTACATCGTGCTTTACTGTAAAACTGGTGTACATAACATGAAATCCTACACGTCGCTCAATACCATAGGATATCTGGTAAAAGATGGTACACAGAACTTGGTTACCAACCCTCGTCAGGTGAGTTGGTACATTACCATTCCTCAATTACCACCCGAAACTTAGTAAATGGTCCTTTACCTACGAAAACTTGGTAATTTACCAGAGTTTACTTCCCACAGTGTGTAGAGGTGCGGACTTCCTTCAGGACCTTAATACACACAATTTCCTGGCCCCTAATCAATTTATTTATCTAAGAGAAAATGAAACTGATCCTCTTGCCCCGTTGTAAACTCCTTGATAAACTTTCCCAAAGCTACCATAGCCCCGTAAAACGTCGTATTGGCTTATTTGACCGGTCAGATTACGACGGAAAGTCCCGAAAGAAGCTCAAGTAACCAAGGGGGGTGTTGTGGTGGCCTGGAAAGAACCCATGCTGTCGTTGTGTTGGAATGAATATGAGACCGGTATTGTAGCGAACGGAAGGGTAGGTTCTGTTCTTGTGGGATATTACGCCCGTCAATTGCTTGCGCATCAGCAGCAGAGTTCTTAGCTCAAACAATAAGATGCAGGGGTCATAACACATCTGCAAATCTTGACTCATCCTACCTCGAAACTCCCAGATTTCAGAGCTTTGGATCGAGAATCGAGTTCTGGAGATACCACCTTTTCAGCACATAGGGGAGTACTGGGAGCCCATAAGATGGTGAAGATAGCATACTTCTCCTGCCACGTTTCCTTTTCTTTCGCCCAGCCGGTGGTTCTGGGGTAAACCCACTATGCTCTCGCCATACCTGGCTCTTCCATTAATCTCGAGGGCCTCCACCAACAATTTCGTGCATTCCTCTAGTGACGTCGTAAGTCCAAACCCAGAAATGAACTTAAAGGGGAAGGGATACCCTTCCATTCGTCTGTGGGTATAATTGGGTTCCCCTCGTCGTACGTCGACAGATCAGACCTTTCCCGCCCCACATGCCCCCAGAAACTACGCATCAGCGACCTACACGCCGTCAAACTATCACTGGACTCCCATGTGTCATTCTTCTCATTGCTCATGTAACGATACCACTAGGGAATACAATTAACGATAAAATGGCGAGGGAGGCTACCGAAAACCCACACCTTCACTTTATAGAGCCAGCCTCCTTCACCGTCAGGCCTAGCTTCAGTGAAATACTCTGCATTCAGGTTGAAAACATTTTCGGTATTGAGTGTTCGCTAAACCGGCGAGGCCAGTGCACTAACCAACAGTGAACTTATTCTTGGCTTTTTCGTCTTCTGTTGGGTTTTCTGAGTCCATAGATGTGGATGAACCAGACCACATCTCCGAATCGCTGATGTCGTCCATCTGGGAGTTTGATGACTCGAGAGGGACCAGCAGCAGTACTTCCTGCATGCATGTCTGCAGTTGGGGCTCTCAGAACCTGAGCAGCTCACTCAGATCGTGGTATGTCTCGAGGACAAAACAGAAGGCGCTTGAAGCATCTCCCATACAGAATGAACAACTGTATTGCGGGAATGTCCGCGTGTCGCGGTGCCGATTGTTAGACAATATTGTCCCAATTATGCACTACATGATGTCTTTCTATCGCCGAGGCATCTTAGGACAGTATATGCCGGTAGGCACGGACCTACGGTTTGTTTCCCTGCCCGAACCGCTCACAAGGGCTAGGATCCGAATTTCGGCTGCACAACGGGCAATCAGCAGCTTTCTACCGTCTACACTAGGCAGGACTCCAGCCTCTATGACTTAGAGTCCACGACAACCTCTTATCCAACTATCAGATAAGCGATATTCCCTGCGTGGCCTCGTGACTAGATATATATCCTGTGCGAAACGCTCCACTGCATTAACCAAGGAAACAGAAAGACTCATCCACTTTGACAATGATAACAGTGACGATGTTGTCACGTCATGGTGAAATAAATTCGGTTCAACTCCGTGACGTAACAAGCTCTTGCACTATAGGCATCACTTGCTATGGTTAACAAGGCCAGGGCATGGTATACCTAAATACATACATACCGAACAGCTTCCGATCATTAGATTGCTCAGAAGGGCGCTGCAACTGAGATGGGGACTGGCGGAGTTTAAATTTCTGTGCATGGGCGCAGGTACAGCTAGCGATGAGCTTGTACATATAGCTGGGCATGCTTTCCGGGCGCTGATTGGTTGCGATTCGCTTTTCGCAACACTCATGCTCACGCTCACCTCCTGGCGAATGGAGATGAATCAATGTGAATATCACTAACACTCGGACACCTCCACCGTGATGCGATGAGTACTGGAACACTTGGAGTTCACAGTCACATCGTGATGGTTCCCTTACATTTTGTAAGGTGAGGTACTTGTCCAGGTGGACGAGGTCGTTGCAATTTCCTAGGGGTCCCCATGTGGTGTCCCCTAGTTCCCATTTAACCTTAAACCAGAGTTCGTTGTGAACCCATGCGTGGTTTAGGATTTCGCGAACTACTGCTTCGCGATCGGGGTCTTCCCCAAAATCATAGAATATGTTTACTTCCCTATTTGGGAAGATTTCCTGGTCATTCGGCTCGTGAGGTGCGAGCCGGGATACATGGAATCTTGGGTGGATTCCGCGTTGTTCAAGTTGTGGTGGCAACTTGAGGACGTAGTTTGACGTTTCTGGAAATGTTTCCAGAATTTTGTAAGGCCCTATGTATAAGTGTCAGGGACGCGTCCGGGGTAGAGGAGGCCCGGGTGAGACGCCCGACACTAGGAGCCTCGCAGGGAGTGGAGCGGCATGCATACTGGCGGGCCCGGCTCAGGAGGCAGTCCCTGGCCACTTAGACTGAAGTGGAAAAGGGTGGGGCCGGGCCAGGCGGGTGTGCCCTGACATCACCCCCTCCTTAAGCCGCTTCGCCTCGAAGCGGCCAGGTGGTTCTCCCTCTCTCTTCCCGGGGCCTGGGGGTGCGTCCTGTGGAATTCCTCGATCCGGTCAGGGGCGTGGACTAAGTGGTCCCGCTGGAGCCATTGGTTCTCTGAGTTTGGCCAGCCAGCAAACTTCACTAGATACCAGAGTTTCCGGCGTAGCCACTTAGAGTCTAGTACTTTCTCGACTTCATATTCTTCGTCTCCATCTACGAGCTCTGGGCCCGGGCATGGGTCGGTGGGTCGTTCCCTGATGTTGTCCGGGTGGTATGGTCTGACGTTTGTCACGGATACGACTGGGTGAACTCCTTTCTGTCGTGCGGTGAGTTGGAGTTTGACGGCAGCCGGGGAGACGACTTTGACGATCTTGAAGGGGCCAAGCCATTTGTGGTCCAACTTTTTGGTCGGGCGGTCGGTCGTGTAGTTTTGCGCGTTGAGCCAGACTTGGTCACCTTCTTGATACTTTGGGGCTGTCTCGCGATCTCGGTCATAGTAGCGGGCCATTTCGTCCGCTGCGTGTTCTAGCGCTGCTTTCGCCTCCTCCTGCATTTTCATCATCCTTGACGAGAATGCATCAGCGGCTTCCACCTCAGACGTGCATGTGGGTTCTGTCCCCATCCTGGGGTGTTGGCCGGTGTCGAGTTCGAAAGGGGTTCGGTGGGTGGAGGAGTGGATGCGGTTATTATAAGAGAATTCCGCTAAGGGGAGCCAATCCGCCCAGTCGTCTTGGCGATGGTTGACGAACACCCGGAGGTAGGCCTCGATCTCCTGATTGACCCGCTCCGTCTGTCCGTCCGTCTGGGGGTGGTAGGGCGCAGAGGGGGTGAGCTTGACACCTAGGAGGTCCGCGAGCTCTTTTGAGAAGCGGGAGACGAAGGCGCTCCCTCTATCGCTGAGGATCTCCTCAGGGAGGCCATGGTGCCTCCAGACGTGCTCTAGGAAGAGCCGTGCGATACCCTCTGAGTCCACGGTCGTCACAGTGGGGACCGTGTGGATGCGTTTGGATAGGCGGTCCACCACTACGAGGATGGCATTGTATCCTTTTGACTCTGGGAGCTCCCCTACCATGTCCACTGAGATCACCTGCCAACGATGGGTGGGGACTTTGTTTGGGGTGAGCTTCCCAACTTTTCGTGAGGGGAACGACTTGACGCGGTTGCAGGTATCGCACCCGCGTACATATCGCCCGACGTACTCTGCCATCTGGGGCCACCAGTAGTCACGGGAGACGAGTTCCAAGGTTTTCCATCGCCCTGGATGCCCCGTCGCCCGTGCGTTGTGGTGTAGCCGTACCAGATCGTGACGGAGTTGGGGGTCTTTTGGAACGTACACTCTCCCCCAGTATAGGACTAGGTCTCCCTGCTCCTCCCACTCGTCCGATCTTAGTGTCCCTTCTCTCAGCTCTCGTATAGCTTTTACCACCCTCTCATCGTGGTCTTTTGCCCCGCGTATTCTCTAGGATGCCTGCTTCCTCTCCTTCTACTGAGACCGCCTCCGTCGCGCGAGCTTCGAACCAGGCTGGTTGGAGGAGGGTCAGCCCTTCGTTGTCGTCTTTCCCTTTCGGGTGGTCGGCTCGACGGGAGAGTGCGTCCGGCTTCCCCATGAGTTTCCCTGGGCGGTGGACGAGGGTGAAGTAGAAGCGGGAGAGGAAGAGGGTCCACCGGGCCTGGCGCCGGTTTAACCTCTGGGCTGTCCGGAAGTAACTCAGGTTACGGTGGTCAGTGTAGATTTCGACCTTCTCCCCGGTGTCATATCCGTGCATACCCGACCCCGACCCGACTTCCGGACACCACCCTCTTCACCTCCGGAGTCATAACCTACCGCTGCCTTTCCGATACTCACCTTCGGTCTTGGCAACACCCCCCTCCTCTTACCTCTCCGACCCCTTCTCCGTCCGTTCCGATACTCATCTCGGACCGAACATCGCCCTACTCGCCACCCTTCCTACAACTCCGCTCCCCCCTCACCACACCTCCACCCTCCCGTCATCCCCTACGCTTTCTCCGTCCGTTCCGATATCCACCTTCGGACCTGACTACTCTTCCTTACCTGTCCCCTCTCTCCTTCCTCCGTCACTCCTCCGCCACCCTTCCGCCAAGTTACGACCATCCACCGCTGATCCGTACTTCACACTCGGACACCGTTCGTACCTTACTCCGAGCCTCCGTCCATACCTCGGACTTTGACTCCACCTCGGTCTTAGTCCATTGCATTGGTGACCTCATACTACGTAAACACCATTGCCAATATTCCTCGGACTTCCAACCCCGCCTCCGTAACCTCCGTAAGCTCCGCAACCCCCGAGCTTCGCGGACCGCCTCCGGCACTCTCGCCGTTTGTAATGTATTTCTCGCAATTCCCCCTCATCCCTATTTGGACTACTGCTTCTTTCTATTCTAGCCAGTTAGTCATCACCCCCACTTCCCCTCATCCTCCTGCCCCTCTGGGCCTCGCCCACTCTACCTCCTTTCGGATGTATCACAGGTCTTGCCCTATGACCTTCGGTACCGCTCCGCTCCCTCTAACCCTTTGTTCCCGTTCGGACGTCTTCATTCCGATTCGGTCACCCTTTGTTTCTCCTTGTGCTTTTGCCCCTTCCTTATATATATCGGCACTTGTACATACTCGTCTGGTTTCAGTCCGAAATCGACCTGAAATGCCCCCAAGAGACTTCCTGCTCACCTACTGTGAAATTAAGGACCAAATGGACAAACAGCAATGGCACAGCGCTCCGCTTGAGTCGCTGAGGCCAAGGTCCCTCCACGCTAAGTCTCCGATTCCACTCCGGAGTCGTCCATTTCCGCCCATCTCTAACACCCGGCACCTTCTAAGAAGTGTCGCCACTCTTCCAGGGCTCGGACGATTGTGAGCATCTCTTTGTCGTATATCTCGTAGTTACGCTCCACGTCCGTGAAGCTCTTGGACATGAATGCTACCGGGTGGAACTCCCCGTCCGCTTGGAGTTGGGAGAGGACTGCACCGGTTGCGAAGTTAGAGGCGTCACATTCAAGCCTGAAGCGGCCAGTGTCTGTAGGGAAGGAGAGGACGGGGGTGGTGGTGACGGCTTCTTTGAGGGCTCGGAAGGCATAGTCCTCGTCCGGGCCCCAGTTCCAGGTTTGGGTCTTCCAGGTTAGCGCGTGGAGGGGCCGTGCTTTCTCAGAGAAGTCTTTGATGAAGCGACGGTAAAAGTTCACAAACCCCAGGAAGGACTGCACTTCCTTCACCTTGGTTGGGGTCGGCCAGTCAAGGACTCCACGGATCTTCACGGGGTCCATCGCGACGCTGCCCTCTGAGATGACCAGGCCCAGGTAGTCGATCTGCGTCCGTTCAAATTTACACTTCTCCGGCTTCAGGAAGAGCTTTCTCTTCCGTAACGTCTCTAGGACTTCTCGGACTACCCTCCGGTGCTCCTCTAGGGTGGCTGTGAAGATGAGAATGTCGTCCATGTAACAAATGACGACCTCCCAATCGATGAAATCCCGAAGGATGTCGTTCATCATGGTCTGGAAGGTTGCGGGTGAGTTACATAGGCCGAAGAACATCACCATGGGCTCGAACAGCCCTCGATTGGTTGCGAATGCTGCTTTCCACTCGTCGCCATCCTTAATCCGGACGTTGTTAAACCCCCATCGTAAGTCCAGAGCTGAGAAGTACTTGGCGTTGCGGAGGCGGGCGAGAACGTCTGAGATGAGTGGAAGCGGGTACGAGTTCTTTACCGTGATCTCGTTCAATTTCCGGTAGTCCTGGACCAGGCGTAGCGACCCATCCTTCTTCTTGACGAAGAAGACTGGGGCCCCCATCGGGGACTTGGAGGGTCGTATGCGCCCGTTCTGCAAGTTCTCGCGTAGGAACTCGTCCAACTCTTTCTGCTCCGGCCGTGAGAGGGGAAAAGTCTTCCCCCTGGGTAGTTTGGCATCCGGGACTAAGTCTATAGCGTGGTCCCAGGGCTTCCGGGGGGGTAGTTGGTCGAAGGCTTCTTTCGAGAACACGTCTCGGAAGTCCTGGTAGTGCTCTGGCACCAACACCTCAAACGGCACGGGTTCTGCCCCCGGGTCATGGGCTTCCTGGGCCATCTGCTGGGAGGGTGTCGTAGTCGCTCTCAGGTCGTGCCCCCACCCCGGGGGAATGATCGCGGCATAGATCCCGTCCCCGGGTTCTAGGGCAAGGTCCGGGTCGCTTCGTGCCTCTAGCAGCTTGCAGGAGGATGGGCAGCGGGACATGGTGACTTTCTGTCGTGCCCAATCCACTTCCGGGTTGTGGTGCAACAGCCACAAATGTCCTATGATGAGGGACTGTCGCCTGAGGTTTGCAACCGCGAACCGGGCTCGCTCTGTGTGTCGTCCGAATGTCAGGAGGGCCTCCAGTTCCTCAGTTATGGCTCCATTCTCGTTGGGGGTCCCGTCGACGTTGCGGACTGGGATGGGCTGAGGGAGCCGGGTGGTCTCAAGGTTGTGCTTCCGGATGAACTCGGGGCTTACGAAGTTCCCGGTGGCTCCTGAGTCCAGGAGGGCTGACACGGATACAGAAGCGAGGGAGGTCAGGGCGGTCAGCTTCACGGTGAGGCTGAGCGACCTGGGGGATTGTTTAGAGAGGACGTAGATGGCGGGTGGGGACACCGCTACCTCAGGTGTTACCCCTGGGGTTCTTTCACTCTCTTGTGCTGGAGATGCGCTTTTTCTCCTTTTCTTTGCGATAACTCGGTGAAGCTTTGGCATTGCTGGCTTACGCGCTTTGCGGTATTTACACGAGTTATGC